AAAGTTTTATTTTTGATTGTAATCCGGTTCCTGCCTCCTTCTTCCCTGAACCTTGCTACACTTAGCTTTCAAAATATTTGGGTGAAAACCATTTATCTGCACTCAGGAGGCTCCCCTGAGTCCGTAGCACCAAGCACCATCCCACAATTCCACCGTCCACGAACCCACTATTTTTATAATGGCATAATGCTATGTGGGATGTCCATATCTCCGCTCTGGAAGGGTCTAGAGACCCCATTTTTGCACTCAGGTCTAACTCCAGAGGCCCTCTATCAGAATCCAGAGTTTCAAGAAGATCAGAGCAACTAAAAATTTCGACCCGAAAAAAAAACGACAGTGGTACCCCTGTCGTTTTTTTTTTGTTGTTGTTGCGAACAAATAAGTTTCTCCAATCTTCTTGAAACTCTGGATTCTGATAGAGGGCCTTGGGACTTAGACCTGAGTGCAAAAATGGAGTCTCTAGACCCTTCCAGAGCTGAGATATGGACATCCCACGTAGCATTTATGCCACTATAAAAATAGTGGGTTCGTGGACGGTGGAATTATGGGATGGCGCTTGGCGCTACGGACTCAGGAGGGCCTCCTGAGTGCAGTAAAATAGTTTTTATCATGAAAGAAACTTTAATTAAAATGTCCAAAAAATACACTACCCAAATCCCCATTCAATAGATTGCAGGTGGGATTCTGTCCAGTTGCATCTTATTGCATGAAGGTCAGGGTTAGTACTTTTCAAATATAGTCAGTTATTGGACAAATAGTGGGTTTTTGGACACGTGGTTTTTAAACTTAGCTTTCAAAATATTTGGATGAAAACCATTTATCTGCACTCAGGAGGCTCCCCTGAGTCCGTAGCACCAAGCACCATCCCATAATTCCACCGTCCAAGAACCCACTATTTTTATAATCGCATACATGCTACATGGGTTCTCAATATTTCAGCTCTGGAAGGGTCTAGAGCCTCAATTTTTGCACTCAGGTCTAAGTCCCATGGCCCTCTATCAGAATCCCGAGTTTCAAGAAGATTGGAGAAACTTATTTTTTCTTGCCAAAAAAAAAAAAAAAAAAAAAAAAAAGACAGGGGTAACACTGTCGATTTTTTGGGGGGCCAAAATTTTGAGTTGCTCTGATCTTCTTAAAACTTCGGATTCTGATAGAGGGCCTTGGGACTTAGACCTGAGTTTAAAAATGGAGTCTCTAGACCCTTCCAGAGCTGAGATATGGAATCCCACGTAGCATTTATGCCATTATAAAAATAGTGGGTTCGTGGACGGTGGAATTTGGGTAGTGTATTTTTTGGACATTTTAATTAAAGTTTCTTTCATGATAAAAATGATTTTACTGCACTCTGGAGTCTTCCCTGAGTCCGTAGCACCAAGCGCCATCCCATAATTCCACAGTCCACGAACCCACTATTTTTATAATGGCATAAATTCTATGTGGGATGTCCATATCTCAGCTCTGTTAGGGTCTAGAGACCCCATTTTTGCACTCAGGTCTAAGTCTCATGGCCCTCTATCAGAATCCAGAGTTTCAAGAAGATCAGAGGGCGTTGGTACATTTTTGGGAAGTACACCTGTTTTGACCTGATGTCCATTGGAATGGACAAAAAAAAAATCACAATGAAAGCAATTATATATATATATATATTTTTTTTCCATTTGTTTTCATTTATAGAAACCTCATGAGCTGGGAAAATGTACTTTTATATTTTTCAGAAACTTGAAACATAATTCAGGTTTGAGGGTGTTAAGAGACTTAAAACTAATTGTCACATACAAAGGAAGTAATCAAATGAGTGTTTTCTGATTAATCTTATTACTCTAAAAATATCCCGCTGTTTTTTTTTGTTTTTTTTTCATGGGGTCCCAAAGAGCAAAATTGACTCTTTGGCACAGTGGCACAGTGAAAATGGCACAGTGAAGCACGCTCTACTTTCTTTGCAAACATTTTCTACATCACATTAACCTGCTGTGTGAAGGGTCTGGTGGATCTACATACATTTACATATAAGCATTCAGCAGCACTTTTCTCATGATGAGGATACAGCCAGGGGCATGACCTTGTCTTTTTATCATCCTAGAGCTATTAAACGGTCACTGAATGCATTTCTCAACAGAGAGGACAAACATACAGTAGCAGCTCACTTTGATTTAAATAATGCAGCACATTTTTCAATCTTTACCTTGCGGCCCATATAAATTGGGATGCCCACAATGATGACCGGTATCGCAATGCCTGCTATGAGTGAGATCACCACTGGAGCCCCGAGCAGCATGCCGACCTGCCACAAAACCTTTCGGGTCTGTGACCACGGCTTCTTTCCCCAAAAAGTGCAGCCTGAGGGACTGTAAGGAAAAAAAAGACATTTATTTTTAATGTCATGAACATGACATGGGGTTAAATACAAGACACACACACACAGTCTCATTGGATCAATATTTTATGATCTCATCCTCGATTAGCCTCATGCACTGCCTGGGTGAATTACAATCCTCTATGGTCAGTGTCACTTCCTGTTTTGTACTGTGTGGCAAAGTGCTACAAGGTTCAAGCTTAAAAGTGAATTTGAATTAAATATTTGAAGACAACACTTTATTATTGATGAATGTTGATCAACCACCCAATAGGCAAATATACATCAAAAATATACATCTGTTGTTGCAAAAAATGGTTAAGCCCGTCAAAATGTTTACCGATTTAGAAATGTGAATTATTGATTACATTTCAATACTATCTTTTTTCGTAACTTCTGTCAATATTTCAAATATCACAAAAACAATTTTGGGCCCTATTTTAACGATCTAAGCACATGTTCTAAAGCGCAAGGTTCAAGTGCACTTTGTCAAAGGGCGTGTCCAAATCCACTTTTGCTAGTTTAACGATGGGAAAAATGGTTGACGCACTTGATGCTTGGACTCAAAGGGTTGTCCCTATTCTCTTAATGAGTAATGGGTGTGTTTAGGGCGTGCAATAAACTAGTCAGCATCTCATCTCCCATTTCCTTTAAAAGCTAGTTGCGCTCGTGCCATGGCGGATTGCTATTTTACATGGAGGAATTTGCAAGCGGTAAAACTGAACGCTTCTCCAGAGAAGAAATGGATATTCTTGTGCGCAAGGTTAAAGCGCGTAAGCAGACCATCTACGGGACAAGCCGGATTTCACCATATCTTTATGTACACAATAATAATCTTTTACATTGTAATCATTTTATTTGTAATATTTGCCATGTTTGTGTGCTGTTGCGCATCCCTGTGTGTTTAATAAGCAGTGTACATGCATTGTGCACCCGACTATAGGCTCAAATTACAAATGCACCCTTTAAATAACAAAAAAAAAAAAAAAAAAAAAACACTGCGTCATTGACTGCACAGTTTATTTCAGTTGCCTCAAAATATCAACGCGCCAACAATGCGCCTGAACACACCTTGTTTTCAGATCAGCACGCCCATAGGCACACAAGTGGGCACAAATGCATTTGCTATTTAAACAACGTGGCACATATGACGAAGTGAAAATGATAACTGTATTTAAACGACGTGAAAATGATAACTGCGTCGGGCTGAAACTAGCAATAAACACTTGTGTCGCGCCCGGCAAGGCATTGCGCCGGGTGTATGATAGGGCCCTTTATGTCTACAAAAATGTTTTTTACCTTTTTCAAAAATTACCACAAATAAATGTGGTGTCACATGACAGATTTAAACATGCATCTGTATGTTGCTTCTATTAAAATGATAGTTCCCCCCAAAATGAAAATTATATCATCAAGTTTCATACTCACCTCCAGTTTCTTTCTTCTGTTGAACACAAAATATATTTTGAAGATTGTTGGTTACCAAACAGTTACTTTTAATGTTACATATCATCTTTTGTGTTCAGAAGAAGAAAGAAACTCATACAGGTTTGGAAAAACTTGAGGGTAAATAAACGATGACAGAATTATTTAATTTTTTTGGTAAACTATCCCTTTAAACCGCTAAATCTTGGTGATGTTCAAGGGTGTGTTAAATCTAAATACATACACAGTAACAAATAATATGAATTCTATACATTTTTCACTTTGGACCGGTCTTGTCTTAAATGGCTCATTTAGAATTATGATGAAAATTATGCATTCTATCTCCGGCCAGCTGGAGCCTAGCAGAATGGGGTGTTCATTAAATTAAGAAACCTGCTTCTGGCAAATCATGGGGGTTGGGTTGCATGGACAGGGAAATATGAACCGAGATTTGTACTGATTAATTGACAAGCGTTGGTGCTGGCCAACATCCAAGAATGGAAAAATCTATTCGAAATCAGCTTTGGTGCAGCGATAGCTTACTGAAACTGGAAGCAAAGTCGCTATCTGAAAGATCAGACCTCTAAAATGCCTTAGCTTCTGTGAGACTTGTTGATTAAGAGTAATTAAGCAAATCTGATAATCTGCAGCAGTCATGAAGTCGGCTACAAAAGCATCTCGGCACAAACTCAGTTTTCCAGGGCCAGAAAAACATATTTGACATTCTTGTGCAGCAGAATTACCCCTGTTTAGCTTGGACTGAATGTTTCAGAGAGTAGCTTAATAACAGATCACAAACTCTGGTGACTGCTTGTGATGAATGTGGGCTATGCGCTTGCAGGCAAATGTCCTATATATTGTTGGGAAAGCTCTGCACACTGGATGAATATTATGTAAATGTTAATTACAAAGTGTACAGTAGCCAGCAGGAACTTAATCAATTAATAAACACAGGTTGATTTAAAAACTCTATGAGTTTCTCTTACACACAACCACGGACCAAATTTTGCATATTTGTTACCAGGTATAAAGGTCTGTTACACAGTTAAGATTATTTGAAGGCAGACATGCTAATATTGCTGCTGAAGAACTGTGCTACTCTACTATTTTCAAGAAATGATTCTCCCCACAAGAACTCTGCTCAAACTTAAATATTTGATGTATTAGAGAAATCAAATAGATTGGCGAGCCACCCAAACAATCGCTCGGCCAAATATAGAGAAATCTTACACTATGCTTAAGGTGAATGTGACTTCCAAGGGTAGGACGTTTTATTTGAATTCAGTCTGCCGGGAAATAAAGAATTTAGAATGTACAGGGTGGATACAATGAGAATTTTCAATGTTAGACGCATCAAATCTCCAAAACAAGTTTGAGTCTGCAAGAAAATTAGATATTTATGATCAAAATTATATTCTCCTCCTTTTTTGTCTATGAAATAATCTGTACTTTTTTCTGCATCTTTTTTGTCTATGTTTTCAGTGTCTTCTGCACCATTATCTAAATTATTTTCTATATGATTTTCCTCACTAAAAATCGATATTTCAATATTTTTTATATTTTTTGGTATGATTTATATTAAAGTTCAAACGTTTAGGATAGGTAAGATTTTTTTTTAAATGTTTTTGAAATGAGTGTCTTTTTCTCACCAAGGCGTTTATTTGACCACAAATACAGAGGCATTGTGAAATATTATTACAACTTAAAATAACTGTTTTCTATTTGAATATATCTTAATTTATTCATGTAATAGCAGCAACCATTACACCAGTATTCAGTGTCACATGATCCTTCAGAAATCTTTCTAATCATTAATACTGATTTTCTGCTCAAGAAATATTTCATATTATTATCAATGTTAAAAACTGTTGTTCTGCTTACTTAGTGGAAACCGTGATACATTTTTATGCATTTTTATCACAGCATTCATTTGACATCTTTTATAACATTATAAATGTTTTACTGTCTCTTTTGCTCAATTTAATGTGCCTGTCCTTAATCAAATAATATGAAATAATTTTTCTGACCTCAAACTTTTGATTTGAACTGTATTGTATTTCAAATAAATCCACCTTTAAAGTGCATAAAATCTAAACTGAGCCGAGGTTGGTTGCTTTACATGTCACTCAGATCTTCCTGTCTAAATGCGTATTTCTTGTACAAAATAAGCTACAATGAGGACGAAACCGTAGCTGTTAGCCATTAGTCAAAGATCTGGCTACGTGCGACAACTCTTACAGTAACTTGATGAGCGTGTGTTCTGTATGTGTGTACCTGAGGTAGTGCACATCAGTGATCTCCTGCATGCACAGCCAACAGAACTGACAAGCACACACTGTACAGTTCATTCGATTGCAGCTGCCATCATTAGTCTTCATGATGTAGGCCCCACACCGTGGACAGGGCTTGATCTCCTCTGCATCTTAAAGAGCGAGGGCAGAAACAAACATCTTAGATGGGACCCCAAATGGATATTAGGTTGGTCCCTCAATATTCGCACCATACCGCCAGGCTCCTCGTTGAACACGAAGAGTGTGGAAACATCATTGCCTCCTGACGTGTGGCGAGAGCGCTGACGTCTGGCTTGGTCGCAAGTCTGGTCTGGGTGCCACAGCTGACGGCAGTGGTAGCAAAACTCGGTTTCACAGCCTTCCCGACCACAGCTTAGCTTGGGACACTCCGCACAGCCGTAAGCTATCACTGCATAGCTAATGAATGACAGAATACACAATAAAACATATGGATTAAGTCAATTATATTTCAACTTAAAACAACAACATGCAGCTAGTTCACGTGCGTTAATCAATATTTTAAGCACACATCATTTGATATGTGAACATAAGCCACCATCTCCAGCAGACGGTGGTGGTTACAGCTAACATCATTGTTTTTTGTGCTTCAGTCACAGTAGTAGAGGATGCTCTCGGTCCCATGTGAAGTGACTGCTGGTGATACCTAATACCGTCTTGTTGACAAGAAATGCCAAACAGCCATGGGTTCCCATCACTACCCCGATCTGGTTACCATTAGGAAACCTAAATCTAGCCTCCAGAACTATACATAATGCACCACAGAGGAGAACGTCCTTCCCACTGCAGCGTGCGTGAAATAATGATCTGCCATTGTACACTTGCTCATTGAAAATCCAGGTAAAACCCACTTCACATGGGTGAAGTCGGGTGATCAGCAGGTCTGCAAGCTGTTGTGACTGAGGATGACCTAGTAGACCATTTCAGTCAAGCTGGTTAGAGTTGATAGACCACCTTGGCGAAGCTGGTGGAGAACCCATGGTCTAACTAACTCCCAGCAACAAGCCAAAAAACAGTTTGACCACATTTAAAATTATTGATTTTTTTTCAATATAAAACTTCTCACTAGCAATTAAGTTTCTGACAAGCAATTCCATTGAGTAATATTATGTGGTGCCTTTATGTCAGCTGGTTTGTTTTATGAAACACAGTCTAACTTGTTGTGACTAGCAGCATACTGTAAAAAAATTAAAGGGATACTCCACTTTTTTTGGAAATAGGCTCATTTTACCACTCCCCCAGAGTTAAACAGATGGGTTTTACCATTTTTAAATCCATTCAGCCGATTTTCTGATATTTAGAAGAATATCGGTAACCAGACAGTTTCTGGTCTCATTGATTTCCATAGTAGGAAAAAATATACTATGGAAGTCAATGAGACCAGAAACTGCCTGGTTACCGATATTCTTCTAAATATCAAAAAAATCGGCGGAATACATTTGAAAACGGTAAAACCCAACTGTTTAACTCTGGGGGAGTGGTAAAATGAGCCTATATCCAAAAAAAGTGGAGTATCCCTTTAAGAGTGGATTCAGAAAATGTTGTATTGGTAACAGTAATTGCATGATAAGGTTTTTGACAATATAATTTAATGACACAGCTAAATGTAATCTTCAGTGAATCTCAAAATAAATTTTTCATACTGTACATTATAATGTGGTATTGCGTAAATTCACTTCACTAGCTAAAATATATTATTTATATTATAGCTATTATTCAAATGTTATCTTTAAAATTTCTATTTTTTTATTAAATATAAAACATAATATAGAATACAAAAATTACACTTATTGTTTATTGGTCATAATGTGAAAACCGAATAATACGAATATTATCATTCTAAAAAAAAGTTACAAACCTGCAAGATAAAATCATTGCACTTTTTTCTTTTACCACTTAATATAAATGATAGATTTTTTGAAAAAAAAAAGCAGCTAAAAACCTTTTTGTAGATATTACAGTGAAAAGTTCAATAAAAGAAAATTACGGTATTGGTAATATAATATGTCAATTTGTAATATTAAATCAAGTGTTGGAACAACATCCCTCTATAATGGCACTCTAGAAGAGGATGGGACACATTTATGTGCTAACCTGCAGTCTGGGGCTGGGCACCAGCGCGTGTCCGGGTCAGCAGCCAGAAAGCGGCGCAGCTGAAACTCTTCGAAGCGCTCCAGCAGAGCACCGTCATCCAGGATGGCACGGACGTCGGGCAGAGCCAGTACTTCAGGGCACTGCGGGCAGGCGATACCCACTCGGCTCTCAGAGATCTCGATGCGTAGGTATTGGCGCAAACAGTCAGTGCAGGCACGGTGCTGGCAGGAGGACAGGCGAGGGAAGTGGCCGCGTGGTTGACTCAGGAGGCAGAGCGGGCACTCCACTAGGTGCTCGAGCAGCTGATCCTGACTGGAGGAGGACAAGGACAGTACACCCATTGAGCCACTGCTCCCACACTCCACACCTCCCTCGTCATCTTCCCCTTTCCCAGGATCTCCTCCATCCCTGCCGCCCTCTAATCCAACCTCACTGTGAGCCCAGTCCTGGAAGGAAACACAAAATGATTCAGGGCAGAAATTAAAGTTAAGACTTTTTCTGTCTAATGAAGAATGATTATATTAAATTAGAAAATGACACGGCCTAACAATTCAGTTTTTTTTGGCAAAAGAGCCAATGGTTTGTGGTTTGTGAGACGTCATGCATCTGATTTCTCAGTGGGTGTGAGCCAAATGGCGTCCCAATTTCCCAAATGTCCAATGTGGGAACAGTTTTACTTTAATTGTATTGAAAGAACAGCTTTCACGGCTTGATAACATTTCTTTTTGTGTTCCAAGAAGAAAAAGTCAGGTTTTTTTTTTACAATAATTATGCTATTCAATAACTTTTTTTGGAAGTTGCATTCAAAATCTGAGGGAGCATGTTGATGCTTCTGAAAGGAACTGAGATGTTAAAGTGTCTACCAGATAAAATGAACTATTACAGCAACTGCTTACAGAATACAGAGATTCAATTGAAACGTGTTTAAAGTCCCCGTGAACCGGAAGTTGCAAACGATTTTTCTCCAATGCTGTGACGTATTTCCAAGTGAAACGGAATATTGAACAGAGGGCAGGGTTTTACTCTAGCGCTCCTCCTCTCCATCTCTCGCTCATAGCAAACTAACGGTTTGAGGGGAGTGGTTAAGCGTTTCCCCACCCAAGTTGTGAAACCTACGTCATCAGAAAAAGAAACCGTTCCAGACCGGAAGTAACTTTTCAGATTTTGATTAAAGATTACCAAGGTAAAACATTTTTAAATATATTTTTACTTGCACGGATTATTTGTTCACCACAAGACTAGTAATATGCGCTAACAAAGTAAATAGGTTCAATTTTGATTTCACAGGGACTTTAAGAGATAAAAATGTACAGAGAACAAATGTATAAATGTCATCTTACTTGTAGCACGTGTTCATGGTCATTGGGTGTGAGAGTGATGGCCACTTCCTCCTTGTTCAAAGTCCTGGCGGGCTTCTCAATCCTGGGATCAGATTTGGGCTTTCGGCTGAAGAAGCTGAGAAAACTAAGGGACTGTGACTGCTGCTTGGGTCTCTTCATTGTACAGAGCTGGACAGTCCAGCCAAAACAGCATGAGTGGATCAGGACCCTTTTGTTTGTCTGTCTCTGTTTGTTGCTTATGGTCTGACACTGAACATTGGCAAATAGACCATTGTGAGGAAATAGAAAAAACGTCCACAACAGCGTTTCCTGATCAAGGTCATCCTTGTTTTCTTCTTAGATGAAATGTTTTATGTTCCTTTAATTATCCAAACGATTCACAAAGGGTGGTTTCATAACTGAAACAACAACAACAACAACATATAAACAGTATCAGAACTAGATTGTGAAGAAAGACATGTTGTGGAAAACATCTTTCAGTGCAGATCCATTACAAAGTTTGGGGTCGGTAAGGTGTTTTAATGTTTTTGAAAGAAGTCTCAACTGTTTTCTTTTTTAATTTTATATTGTTCTAATATTTTTTAGGAAACTTTGATACATTTCAGGATTATTTAATGAAAAGAAAGGTCAAAAGAACAGCACTTGAAATATATATCTTTTGTAATGTTTTGTGTCTTCTTCAGTATCACTTTTTTGATCAATTTAATGTTTTCTTGCTGAATAAAAATATTAATTCTTACAAATCTTACTAATCCCAAACACATTTATTGCACGCGCAGTCATACACTTACATACACATCTTTGTAAACATATTTTTTACCTTGAAAAAAGGTAAAAATACAAATGTTTACAAAGATATTTCCAAAGGCCTTGATTATTTTCTGGCTTATAAACTTGGCTCCCACCAACAGTTCATGCAAAGACAACTGCATAGTGCACACTTTCACTGAGAGGTAGTTATTTGGTAACGCTTCCTTTTACAGTCCAGTTATCCATGTAAATACTATGTACTTATTTTAGTAACTACAATTACTGTGTAATAACTAGTACTAACTCTGAACCTACCCCTAAACTTACCCCTGTTCCATGTACATACCTTATATTAGCCAGTACTTTCTAGGTAAGTACACTGTAAGTATACTGTAAGTACTGTACTGTAAAAGGAAGCGTTACATTGTGTGACAAAGCTGGTGGAATGGAGAAGTCTGAGCTGTATTTTTTTCTTGATACATGATCATGTGAAATTAATTTACCAACTGACCAACAGAAATATTTTGAAGAAAACTAAACTAATGACAAAAGCACATTTTTTTTTACTAAAACATGAACTAAAATCAAAATAAAAGTTTATAATATATAAAATAATATAATATTTTTCTAAATATAAAAACTAATTCAAAATATGAATACTATAACAGCATACAAATAATACAAAAATAACAGTCAATTTGACATATTGTTCATAGTTATTTTGCTATATACGAGAAAACAAACTGCTAAATGATTCAATATAAAACACTAAGACAAAAAATATATTCACGAGGATCAATCTAATTCAGATCTTTTCAGATAAACATTCTGATGTGGTAAATCAGAATATATGAAATCTAAATAGCAGATTAAATTAAGAGATATGGCCGATAAAGCTAAGAAAAAAACTGAATTATGATTATTATAAATAAAATGGTCAATAGAGAAAATCAATGTCTTATTCAGGTCTTAATAGCAAAACAACTATATTTTTTTCACTTCCCCTTAACAATCTCAAGAAAATCATGGTTTTGTTAAATAGAAAAAAAACATGAAATCTCATTGGCCAAAAAAAAAAAAAAAAAAAGAAAAAAAAAAAGAAAAGAAAAAAGATCAAGATCTGCTAAAGATCAATATTTTGATCTGAGATAAGCAACATCAGCCCCTCTGGCAGCATTACGTAATTAACGTGAGGGTCTGTGTCTTGCCTTTGACTGCATGCTCCATCACTCATCAGAACAGAAACCAATAAGGAGAATAGACCTAATATCAAGGTCATTCAACGCTCTGACAAGCAGGGTTTTAAAATGCACAAGATAGAGCTTCAAGCGTGAAAAGAGTTATACAATTATAATGGAGGCAATACATTAGCCTATGATAGATTAAATTATTACAAAGGTGCATTTAGATATTCTGCTTGACTTCTAAGAAACATAGGCCTATATGCATGTCATTGATATCTGAAATAATTTCCACCAATATAGCCTATTATGTCTCATGGATGCATGGAAAAGAAATACTTTTATCATGCAGAATGCAGTGCCAGTGGACCTCAATGATGAGACAAAGCTCAAATGTGTTTTATAGCTTCTTTGGCCATAGAGCAAAATCCTGTGGCCGAGATCTTTGGATTGGCTTTGTTGTGTTTTCTTTCTCTCGGTTCCCTGGACTAGGCTATTCCTGGACATGCACTGAACGGCTTTCTTGTTTAACAAATTAAGCAAAGTTGGGCAGCAACTTGGCAAACCCAAAATACCAAAAGCCGATGAAATTCTATAGCCCTGTTTACAATTAAGCTTTTGAAGAAGGAGGGTATCCCATTAATATGTTGACTAATAATTCCCTTCAGGAAAGCATCGTGGCAATGCCGTTTAGGGCGTTATTTGAGGACACACCTCCACATTATAGGGGCAGGAGCAAATCAGTGATCCGACATTTAGCCTACACCAACTGTTACTTTAATGATACAGTAGCCAACGAATATTTATATTAGCCTACAATTTACGTACAGAATAACATGCACTTCAAAAGACCTATCGATTGTGCAGAAATGGGTCTGTTTATCGTTGCTTTAAAATTCATTCACTGAAATTCATTGTTTACGAACAGAATTTGTATTATTAATTAATAAGAAGGTCTGGCCAGGGCATCACAGCACTGCAGGGAGTGGCAAGGTTATTACGTATGACTGTTCACCCCTGCCAAATAATACACTTTTATGCGTAAATACAGCATATTATGCAGTAACGCAGAAGACTAAATTACCTTCTGACCAAAAGATAGCGCACAATAAATGAATGAAATCAGCCTCTTACCTCCGCTCAGTGCGTTATCAGCTCAGCAGCACCATCGGATGGGTGCTTAGCTCCTCCCACAGAGCGGCTGAGGACGGCTCCTCCCACTGCTGTAAAACGTCGCCTGTTGGGTGTCTTTGAGCGTTTTTCTGGACCCTGTGGTCTGAGATTCGCCGCATGACGTTGGCGAGGAGATCCCCTTGAACCTCGAGGTTCCCTTTTCACTGCACACCGGCGGCGCCGGCCTGCTGCTCGAGAGCTTGTAACGGCCTGCGGGAAAGATGCTGCGACTGCAGCAGTGATCATCGGAATCCGTGCGATGACGTACAATCACTTACTTCATTCAATGACGAACCACATTTTAACGAAACAATACCTGACAACAGCGATCTCTGCCTCTGAACACAACAAATGGCTATATATATATATATATATATATATATATATATATATATATATATATATATATATATATAGCCTACATATGCAAATAAAGAGTATGGTTGTCATTCTAAATTCAGTAGCCTATTGTGTAGGCTGTTCGGTAATTGAGCAAAAATTGAAAATTGAGCACCACTGCACCATTAATTATTTTAATATAACGGTATTAAGCCCATTTCATAACAATGCAATATGATAGGCCTATATATGCCGACGATCAATTTTTAGATTTTCTTTGTGTAGCCTATACACAAAGAAAATATAAAATTGATCGTCGGCATATATATAGGCCTATATCATATTGCATTGTTATGAAATATGATATATATATATATATATATATATATATATATATATATATATAGGTGATAAATATCATATGATAAATCATATGATATATATATGATAAAATATAAAATTGATCGTCCTTGTATTAATAAAATAATATAATACATATAATATAATATAATATAATATAATATAATAATGTTGCTGCTGCTGCTATTATGCGATAAAATGAATAATACAAAAACTAAATCTAACATTAGGCTTTCCTTTATAGTTTATATATATATATATATATATATATATATACATTCCATAAAAAGAGAAAAGTAAAAATAGAGAGGGAGCAACGTACCCGGAAACGCGTCACTGGGGAAGCGGAAATACGCAACGGTAGCGGAAGAAAAATGTATACAATGGCAATTTGGAAATCAATTAAGTTATGAAAAAAGAGCATTAATTGCCTTTCTTTGTGGTCGCTGTGTTATGGAATGGCGGCTTGTGAGCAGTAGTGCACCGTCAGACGCCGCTGTTTTGCCTCGACGGGAATTGTTGTTTGACGTGTCAGGCAGAAAGAGCAGGTATATTTATGACAGCTGCTGAGCTTGACAATATAGCTGGAGTTGAGTGTATAGATTTTTGTACTAACGTTACATGTCGACAGAATAAACGCACAGGCTGGGCGGAAAGAATCATGCAATTCATGCATTCTGTCGCACTACGAGTTTAAAATATCCTGTATGTGCTATAAATAACGCCAGCCTTATTTATGTTAAATGACACTGTAAGATTAGCACGTTAGCCCATGTATCTGTTATAGAGGTTGTGTTGACGTGCATGTCAGTACTGTAACGTCTGTTATTTCAATCCTTTCGAAGGCTACTTTTGGAGAATGAGTTGATTCTTTTCGGGGGAATCCAGAGGAGGTTGCAAATTAAAAGGCTGACTGGAAGATGCCAAGAAGAAAACAGCAGAATCCACAACCTGTCAAGTGTAAGCTGCTTTTTCATATAGTATTGTCAGCTAAATGGTTTGCTTCATTCCTTTCACATGCGTTTTGTTTTCGTAAGTGTTTACTAATTCACAGAAAGAATATTAAACTGGTCCCTTATAATTAAAACTGTCATATGCTCTTGAGCCATTTAAACTTGGACATATCTGTCCAAAGTCTCCTAAATGTTAATGTTAGCTATCAATAAGCAGACTCTTTTTTACAGTAATAGCAGGGACATATAGACTGTGTGATTATAGTATTATAATAGGTTTGTAATATAATTATAAACTATATAGAATTATAATAACATAATTAAATAGTAATTGCTTTTATTGACAGGTCTCACAGAAACATAATAATTGCACTGCCGTCTGTTTTGATCATCTTGATTTTGAATTGTGCTTTCAGGTGTCAGACAAGAATCTCCTTATGATTATATATGCTGTAAATCTGGTGTCTTGAAATGTATTATGTGGCTATTAACACAACTAGGTGTTTTTTGTGTTGTTTGTGTCATATTATGAACATAAGCTGAGTTTAGATCTATAGGCTGTACAGTGTATTTAATTTAATAGGAAGTAATTTTAAATTTAGATGGTGACTGTCATGGTGAATAATTTGATAATATTTGAATTGCTTTAAACATTAACTCCTGCTAAAGTATTGGCTGTTCATTGTTTGATCTTTTCTTCTCAAAAAGTGTTCATTATATTTAATCTCGCCCAGTAGATGGCAGTAAATCTACAGTAAAGCCAGGGCCAGTAAGAAGTCAGTACTGCATAATGGGCTGCTTATTTTTCCTTTTTGTTATTTGAAGGTCACATTAAAACTGTATTGGAAACATTTTACATTGCCTTCTTTATTTATCTTTACTATTACTTTTCATGTATTACATGTATTATTACTTTTACTATTACTTTTCAGCACAAATGCTGGCTGTTTCTTACACTTTTCTTAATATATGAAAATCCATTATAAAATGTTAGTACATTTTTAAAAGTTAGCTGTTGTGGTTTCATTTTCACAATGATCAGCAATTTTTCTACGTGTAAAAATTAACTAAGAAAAAGAAAAATCAAGATGTCACAAATTGATTTAGTATTTCCAGTCAAACTGTAGTTTTGTCAAATTATGCAAAAAGAATGAAAATAATTTAATTGGAGCCAATAATTTTCTTCAGAAATTTTTTAAAATGAATTACATTTTAACCCCAGAATGCTTTTAAACACAAATGCATACATTGTGACTTGGTTGAAATGAAATAAATACATATAGTTTTAAATTGATAAGATGTTTTTAAAAGAAGTCTCTTCTGCTCACCAAGGCTGCAATTATTTGATAAAAAAAAACAAAAAAAAAACAGTAATATTATGAAAAAATATTACAATTTAAAACAGCGGTTTTCTATGTGAATATATAGTGAAGTGTAATTTATTCCTGTGATCAAAGCTGAATTTACAGCATCATTACAGTCTTCAGTGTCACATGATCCTACAGAAATTATTATAATATGATGCTCAAGAAACATTTATGATTATTATCCATGTTGACAACAGTTTTTTTACATTTTTATTTCAGGATTCTTTGATGAATAGAAAGTTCAAAAGAACAAAATTGATCTGAAATTGAACTCTTTTGTAACATTAATCAATAGCATTCAAAAGTTTGGGGTCATTAAGAACTTATTTTCTATTTTTGGGGAAAAGAAATTTGAAAATACTTTTATTCATCAAGGATGAGTTAAATTGATCAAAAGTTACAGTAAAGTCATTTATAATGTTAGAAAAGATTATATTTTAAATAAATGCTATTCTTTTTGAACTTTCTATTCATCATAGAATCTTGGGGGAAAAATGGCACACGACTGTTTAACATTGAAAAAAATAATTTGTTTTTTGAGCACAAAATCAGCATATTAGAATAATTTCTGAAGGATTATCTGACACTGAAAACTGATGTGTAATCAGCAACAGTAATGATGTTGAAAATTCAGCTTTCAAATTACATTTTAAAATATATTCAAATAGAAAACAGTCAATTTAAATTGTCATAATATTCCACAATATTACTGTTTGGCATTTTTTTTTTTTTCATAAAATAAAGCAGCCTTGGTGAGCAGAAGAGACTTCATTTAAAAACATAAAAAATCTTACTGATCTAAAACTTTTGACCAGTAGTGTGTATATATTTCAAAAATTCCACATGGGTAAAAGGGATGATTAAATCATTTCTTGTTGATTAATTGTTACAAATGTACATGATCCCACAAAGAAGTTTACTGTAAATCTTATTTGTATAATACATGTAAGATTCAGTATTCCTCATATGAAGTTTACAGCTGCTGAGTGAGATTCACAGGGCTTTTTCAGTAGATAGTTTTACATCCTTTGATTTTTTTTAATTAAAAAAAATAATAAATTATATAATAATAAAAAACTAAACCACAAAATAATAGGTAAGTAAATAGATTAATAATATATACACACATTTACATCAACAGGCATTACCACAAAGGTAAGGACAGAAATGGCTAAAAAAATATACATAGGTCAAGTTGCATGTTCTTCTTCCAATGAACGCCATTGCTGCTGTATTTAACCATGAGCCTTTGCTTTCAGTGGATTCTGATGATGGTTTAGGCACTGTACGTCCAGCAAGCCTTACCTTTGAGAGCGACTTCCTCCTGGGACAAGAACTCGAGTTCTCAGATCCTGACAATGACAACAAGATCATAGGCCTTGAAAAGTTCTCAGGTGAGTTACTTGAGTTTTTTTTTTGGTAGGGCTGTGTTCTTGTCATCCAAATTCTAATCTGTGCCACTGTTTGAGGGAGAATTGTTCCCTTGTTACAACCAGTTTTGTGCAATACGTTTTTATTACAAAGACCAAATTTAATTAAGATTTCTGAAACTTCCTGAACTTAAGCCAGCCAGCTCCTTGTTTCCTGTCTGCCTTTATTGGCCGAACTTGATTAATTCAGGTGTGTCTGATTATTGTTGCCATGACTACTGAGGTCAGGCACACCTGGATTAATCAATTTGGCCAATAATGACAGACAGGAAACAAGGAGCTGGCTTAAGTTCAGGAAGTAGTGCATCTGTGCATAAAGTCAATTGTAAAATTATAGAACTGTTAGAATTTAGCATAAAATTTTCTAGTGACCGTAAGTTTTTTTTTTTTTTTTTTAATTTTGAAAACCATTCTTTAAAATTGTGAAAGCAGTCGCTATAAAATGTATTACTTGGCTATGACTGTTATATGATGGCTACTGACAAATCTTGAGGATTTAAAACATATGCTTTAGATGATCTATTGCTGGTATTCATGAAGAGACATATGTTCTCAAGACAGATATTAACTGCAAAGACTGACAAGTAATGTTAACGCTATTATGCAAACGTGCTGCATTTTGTCTGTCAGCAAGCAGTGTGATCTTTCATGTACAGATGAGAGATGAGAGCCTACCTCCCTGGAAAATTTTACTGGTTTTGGCATTCAGACAGAACATACCATTTCAAAATGGCAAATCAGGAAAAAAATACACCATTATATAACGGTCGTCAAGACAGTCATCACCATCAAGGACACATTATAATAAGGCATTTAGTCCATCATCATCATCATCATCATCATCATCTCCTCTCAGGGTCTTTATCATAGTTGTCATCATCATCATCATCATCATCTCCTCTCATCATCATCATCATCATCAGCAGGACCATTATAGTCATCATCATTATCATTAGGCTGGGTAATCATCCACCTGGGGTTTCTGAAACGGGCGATATAAAGGCCCGTTCAGACTTCAGACTCACACATTTCTACACATTGCATGTGCATGAGGACAACACTTCGTTTCACGGAAAGACTGAGCAGAAACACTGTAGCCTTGGGTTTTGTTGGAGTACCACTTTTTATTTGTTTCTATCAGAATTTACGTAACATTTGTCCACTGGCTTAGTGGGTAAGTATAAATGAAATATTTTTCAAAATATCAATTTCAACTGTTGATATCTTGCACTCTCCTTGTAATCTCTGTACTTTTGATACAAATATAGATTCTCATTTGTCATGAGAGGTTTTCCTAAACCATTTTGTATGTTTACTCGTAATACTACTAAGATGCTGATATAACATTACTTGCTACAGATACTGAAATAGTGTATTTTTCTTCGAACATTTCTGTTGTATTTGAATGCTTGCACACTGTCTCAGATTGCAGAACACATATCTATACAGCTGCATAATGTAATGCAGTGTCCTGCTGTGGTCCTGTACAGCTGACATCAGTCTGCCCGGCTTCCCCCTGGGAGACGAGGAGAGCTCCCCCTTCAGCCGCCTCAGTATGGAGAGTGACGCTGACGACCTCCGCGCAACCGAAAGCGAGCGTGAAGAGAGGGTTTCTGAGTCTGCCTTTCCCTCTTACCTCTCTTGCAGGGGCTGTGGTCAGCTCCTGGAAGACCCCCTGGGACCCGGCATGGACTTGGTGGGGCCCTACTGCATGCGCTGCTGCAAAGGGAATGCGGATGGTGTTGTGGACAGGAAGCTCTGTTTGGGCTTAGGCTTACAAGCGGAGTCTAGAGGGGGAGGGAATGAGGGCGCTGGTGGCGAGGATGGCTCCCTGAAGCTCCACTCATGCACGCTCTGTGGTTTCACTTCACGCTACACTAACCACGTTAAGAGGCACATGAAGACACACAATGGCGAAAAACCATACGGGTGTCCGCTGTGCTCCTACGCATCGGCACAACTAGTGAACTTGCAAAGGCATTTGCGCATACACACCGGAGAAAAGCCCTACAAATGCAACCACTGCACGTTTGCATGCAGTTCCTTAGGGAATCTGAAGAGGCACCAGCGCATGCATTTAGCTGTAAGCCCGGGTCAGAGTGCCACTCAGCCGGTCAGTGGCAACTGTTTAAATCACTCTACTGTGGGTCAGAAGGAAAAGGAAGCGGCTCCTGCCCCCACTGAAGGTAAGTGAGGTCCTGCTGTGTGTGTCCTCTTGAAAGAACATTGAACAGAGTTTTACAACGAGTTGTAATACAACATCCTTCAGTTGTAGGTGCTGTGCAGTCTGTCTCGCGTCCCCACGTGGGAAGGGATGGGAACTACTTGCAGACCTTTGATGGCCTCAGGCTTGCACAGCCGTCGTCGACAGGGGCGTTGCAGTCAGGACAGGCTCCTTCTGAGCCTGCTTCCCTACCCCCCACGTTCTTCCCCTTCACTTGTCGTCTGTGTGGCATGGCCTTGGATGATGAGGACGGGTCCTCGGCCCAGATCTGCGCCAAGTGCACTCTGGAGATGCTGACTAAGGACACAACTGGGTGCCCCGCTGAGCGAGGGGACAAGGTCTACACCTGTGCTGCCTGCCCCTTCCTCACCCACTACCCAAACCACCTGGCCCGCCACATGAAGACCCACAGCGGAGAGAAGCCATACAAGTGCCCGCAGTGCGATTACGCCTCCGCCCACTTCGACAACCTCAAGCGGCACCATCGAGTGCACACCGGCGAGAAGCCCTACAAGTGCCACCTGTGTGACTATGCCTGCGGCAACCTGGCGAACCTCAAGAGGCACCAACGGGTGCATTCCGGCGCCAAACCCTTTCAGTGTGCAATCTGCAACTACAGCTGCAATCAGAGTATGAACCTGAAGCGGCACATGCTGCGCCACACAGGCGAGAAGCCCCATAAGTGCCAAGAGTGTGGGTACACCACTGGTCACTGGGACAATTACAAACGACATCAGAAGAAGCACAGCCTGACTACAGATGGCTGGGTTAAAGCGCAGATGCCTGGGAATGAGGAAGAGGTGGAGGACGAGGAAGAGGTGTAGATTAAAATGGCAAGACAGTCGTCCATATGAGATTTTACTGTAATGGCATAAGCGTTGATAGTTGTCCTCCTTTTCTTTTGTGCCCAGAATTATTTGGGGAATTGATCATAAGCTGCTACATGAAGTCAAATTCAAAGACAGTTACCTGAATGTCCTAATGTGGGGACTGTCCAATCCTGCTCCTGGAAGACCAACCTTCCTGCTGACTCTATATAAACACACCTGAACCAGCTAATCAAGGTCTTTAGGATCATTCGAAACTTCCTGACTGGTTTGGAGCCGGTTGACACCCAAACTCTGCAGGAAGGTGGTCCTCCAGAAGCAGGATTGGACATTCCTGATTAATGCCTTTGAACGAGGCAAAACGTTTGTTACTCAAAGCTCTCTAAGAGCGTTCTGAGCCTGATTGTGGTTCATTTATTAGTGCCAAACACTACTGCACCACTGCCATAGGAAGTTCTTCTTTAAGCCTGGCACAACGTTGCATGCACTTAAGTTAACCTTGGTTGACTGTCTCGAGGTTTTATGTAATTGATCATTTTTCCATCTTCACAGATGAGCATATTGTTCTTTATAGCATAGTGATCTTTAATCATCTTGTTTTTGCTCTCAATAATTCTGGGGGATTGTGTTGCCTTTTGTTGTGTGTATTTTATTGTCTGTGAGAAATGCCATTGGTCTGAGTTTACTTGAAGCAAAATGTTGCGTAGTGGATTTTAGTGTCATGCTAAACATAGAGCTTTTATTTTTGTATGTGATTTTATTTTCTATCTCTAAGGAATGTTTGGCATGTATTTGCCACCCATGGCATTGTTAGCTATACCGAAGGACGACAGTTAACGTAAACCCTATTATGCAGTTAAACCTTAAGGTTGCCAAGAAATGACTGAACATTGAAATATTGTAGGTGTGTGGTGCTTGAGTGTTTATTGTTATTATGCAGTGGTTTCATTAATGCCTTAAATATCCTCGAATAAAACATTTGTGTTGAAACTTGCTTAACTTCTTTGTCTTCATTCACTTTAATATTCAGTCACAGAACTGAAGTGAAGTTACTAGTAGCCAGCAGGATGTGATTAAGATGCCTAGACAGGCAGTGTGTATGTAATCCTCACACTTTCATAATGAGAGCTGTAATCTTCCCCACGCTCTGCTGCGAACAGCACCGGTAAACACGCTAATGATGACAGAGCCCCGGGCAGCGAATGAGTTTGAAGTGCCAGAGCTTGTTTTGAGCCCAAAGGTTATGAGGAAATTTGACATTCAAATCATAGGTCAAAAAGCTAAAGTTCATGCTAATGAGTTATGCGGTGGGATTTTTCGCTAGCTAATCATAGGAGTCAATGTGTTTACTAACAGGCAAGCCACATAGGCTACATGATAACCTCGGAAAACGACTCGCATACACCGAGTAGATTTGTTTGGCACCTAAGTTTATTGAAACTCAGAAGGCTCTAAATTCCATTCTAAAATGAACTGACGATTTAAAAAATAAATCATGCTCATAAGCTTTATGAGAGATGTACAAGATTTAAGAGTACAGACGGTTTACTCTTTTCATCCTAGATGATGCTGGCGAACATATTAACATGGCAATCACAAATGACAGTCATCAGTTAAAAAATAGTCAGCCATACAGCACAAAGTATCAGAACATTTAAACAATCTTCGCATTAAACATTCTGCACAACGGGGAATCATCTGGGATGAGATATGAGGATTTCATTTAGTATGACAATCAATGCAGACAGTCAAAACCCCAGCATAAATGTGAAATACAGCCATTTCCCAAGCACAATGTGATCAGATCTCTGAGATGATTGCCATTTGTAAAATACAAAATGGATTTTATGTATATATAAATGAAAAATTGGAATGATATATTCTTCAAAATAAAGTGTACAAAGACAATCACTGAAATTTAAATGTGAAATTTGTAAACACTCCTTTTTTGACAATTTTCTACAATTTTGTAAACACTGATAACTGTTAGTTTATTTTTTTTTACACAGCTTAGATTATATTTGATCAACTGTTCTTTTTTTGTAATATACTAAAGATAATACAGGTATTAGTAAATATTCTGAATACTTCTTTTTTTAATTGCATGTACATTTATAAAAGTGATATTACCATAATTTTACTTTTCTGTGCAAAATGCTTTAGTGAACTATAATTTTGGCATTTATGACAAACCTTTTTTAATATATTGGTTTGAATAACAGAACACGGACAAAAAGCGCAAAAAAAAAGAAAAATCAATTGACAGACCTACAAACCTCTAGCGGATGTTCCAGGATGTTTTCCCACAGTCAATATCTCAATAAATACCCAAATCATCCATCTTTCTTAATACTGTGCAAAACAAAAAAAAAAACATGGGTTTAGCTAGTGCAAACACCAAAACAAAGCGAGATTCAGGACACAGCTGAGGCCAGAATGAGAAAACTTGTGTCCGGCGCTACATTTTATTTTCATTTTGAGAAGTTGAACTGTAAGGCGGTTGAATCAGCGTAAGGCAGAGAACAAACAGGCCACAATTTCATCTAGAATATGCAGTAGGCATCAGGTCGAGTTAGCTGCAAGATTCCCTCTCCAGAAGAGAACAAAAAAAATCTGCAGAGATCTACCAAGCTACAGGTCATATTGTTGCTACCACACAATAGGTTGAGCAACATTGACACACAGCACGATACGAAGCAGACCACTTCTCTATTAAATAATAATCTTAATAGATTTTAAAAGGAACATCAACACATGTCAGTTTGCTGGTATGGATCTTGCTCTAGTAGGCAACTAAATTCAGGAGCAAGAGAAAAATGAGATGGAAAGGAAGTATGATTCAATGAAGCCGTCTGCAGAAGAAACTTCCATCACAGCCTTAAATTAACGTCTTTCCTGAATCCTGTAACCTCCCCTGAGGGGCATATGGAACCTTTGAAATCTCCAATTATGCCTCAAAACTGAAATTATCCCATTTTTTGACTTTAATTGAGCGAGCACTGAATCTGAGGCCGCTCATAAAACTGACGAGAGGCTTCACGGGCCATTTCTGAGACCCTCAGAAAGGGGTTACACTATTGCAGAACTGGGCATCTATTAAACTACACTCAACGCAGAGAAACCGCTAAATGAATCAGACTCCTGATCCAGTCTATGAGGACGACTCCATCAGAGGTCATCGTCCCCTATTCCTTCAAAAGCATAGTTTCCATGGAAATCATTGCCACTGATGTCACTGGCTGAATTGGAAGAACTAAGTCCTCTCAGGGAGACAGAAGACAGCTTGGTCTGTGAAAAAACACACAAAAAAAAAACAGAATAGGAGATAAGTGTAAAAAACTGTTATTGTTAGCTAAACCGATTTTTTTTTATTTGTTTTATTAATTTAAATTACACTGAAATAAAATAAAATACAAATATTAGATAAAGAACTTGAGACTGAACTAAAAATTAGAAACTGTGCCTTAGCAACTACCTGGGGAACAACCCACAAGCCTTGCCATTTTAGAGATACTCTGACCCAGTTGCCTTGCCATACCAATCTGGCCCTTATCAAAGTCACTCAGATCTTTATTCCTGCCAATTACTGCTCCGTCCAACACATTTTTCTGAGAACTGACTGTTTGTTTACCATCTAATCTACCCAGACCTTAATATGTGGCTTTACCTTTCATTCTGTGACTGGTCATAATGCTTTGGCAATACAAAAGTTGTATTTGTTAACATTACATAATGCACAGTGAAGTAACATGAACGAACAATGAACAGCTGTATTTTTATTAAACTAACATTAATGCCTTTATTAACATTAGCAAAGATTAATAAATACCATACAAATTGCTCATAGTTAGTTCATGTCAATTAAATGAAACCTTATTGTAACGTGTTACCAAAAGAACACTGGTATGAAACAGTATAGAAGATATTTACATTGCAAGTTGATTATAAAGAAATGAGACAACTCACAGAGAGTTTGACTACTTGTTCACGGCTAGGATCAGGGGAATCCTGAAAAACATTTATGCAAAATCACATATTAACAAATGGTACATCTTCCATATCGAAAGTAGAGATGTTCTGCATTAGCAAAAACCTCATACCCACCAGTAACGGAGGAGATTTCACAGCTTGCTGACTGTCAGACCGCTGGAACGTGCCGTTCAGTCGCTTCTTCTGCATCTGCTGGAAACACATCACAATCACAAACTTAGAGAAAAAGAGAGAGAATGCTCTTCAAGTAAACATGACCACATTTAATTTCATAAACCACATTCCTGGTCTTAATTTGCATGATTCATCGAAATATATTATTCCAGAAAAAAAAAAGTTTCATAGCATTTCATTAAAGTGTTGTTCTTGAAAACAACAAAAAATAGTTGTTTTTGCACTGAAACAACTTTCAAGGGCTTTTCGGTTGTAGCAGCGCTTACTTTTGACATTCTCCTTCATTTAATTGAAAATCCTGTTTCAAATATACCACATATAAAGCCTATTATCCTGAAAGGATTTATCATGCCAGTCCCATGTGACAAAAACAAATTCATTATGACAAACTTAAAACAAACAGTCACATCAACCTACTGAAAGATATTCCCAGATATTTGACAAATATAGATCTAGTGACCTTTTTAATGCTTCCGCCAGATTTCTTCACCATTAGCTCATCCACCATAGCCTGCAGACAGATACTCATCATGATGGCCTGGAGCAAAAAAACAACAACAAAAAGTCCCTCAATCCAGCGGTCTAATCTCAGTAATCACCTGTAGCGTTTCAAATAAATATTTATTTTTAGCATTCAATTTTTCATAGTAGAATTCTGCGACTGACCTGTGGACTGGTGATGGTGACCCACTGCAGGCGGTCTTTACTCATCAAGTACTCGAAGGCCAGCTCTAGTTTCACATCACATTTACTGGAGCTGCTTGGGTTTGCGGTGCCGTTCGCCACAGGCACCTGCTGTAGAGGCAAGCCGGGTCATCACAAATACGATCATCATAATCATTGTTATTTGTGTCGAGGCAATTACAGCGGCCATTTCTAAACTCCTCTACATGGCAATTACCTTCAAAGCTCAATTAGTCATCATTAGCTCTGCTCTAAATGTCATCGTCCTTATACTGGATACGAGCACAAAACATAAAAGCGTCTCATTAGAATTGTCTAAGATGACACAAAACAAACAACTACACAGACACAGGAAACCTCACAGTCCCATTAGAAAGACATGGCTGTGCAGTCCCAGCATCCTCAGCGTCAGAGGGCAGCCATTCTGAGCTCATTTATAACGCAACTCTGCTATTCTAAGGCAAAGCCAAGAGCCCTGAAGAAGAGTGGAGTATAGACAACTTCCAATCGCTAATGAAACACCAGAACGTGCATTCATCCATTTTAGAATGAAGATTTAAATCATCTTTATTTTGTTTCCTAATATGGGTAATTACAAGACATATAATTTAGTGTAAATGCAGGGCAGGAGTCCCAAATAATTATGAATGGATAGATGGATGAGTGTCTGGTAGCCGACCAGTGAACAAAGAGACAAAGAGCACAGTCTCTTTTCCTTCTGTAAGTGGCATTTTGGTTGTTTCAACTTCCCATTTTCAGAAATAGACCAACCAGACATGCCTGAAGGGACAGTCATAGAAAGAATTGTCTGGAGATGCAAAAGGAATGTTGCTACATCTTAAGTGTAAAAAGTAGTACAGATCATTTGAAAAAAAAAAAAAAAAAGGTTTTTTTTTTAAAGTTAAAATTTTGCCTTTATTTTCCTGAACCAAATTTATTTTTATAAAGATTTCAATAAACCAGCCTAAAATAAAATTAAATACTGCTTGCCTGTTCAATTTAAAACAGACAAAAACAGTGTAAAATTAGTTCTAAAAAAAAATGCAGTTCTTTCTTAAAAAAACATGAGCTTATTTGACTTCACAAGGTCAAGAACCTTAACTAACTACTCTTATACTTTAGGAAAGGACTCTGGTACTGTGGAACTGCTAAATTACAAGCTTTTGTGCAAATTCAGCCTCTGAAGGACATTTGAAATGTCTAACGTCGACAACAACATACTATTTACACTGTAGAGCATCTGGACCCTGTCAGTTGGGACAAATCCACAGTTGACACTTTCATAGCAAACTTGGTTAAAACAAAGCCTTCCCCCTTTTCTGCAAGGACCGAACGTTGTGCACACTGCACACCACACACAGGCCTCAAACAGATCGCTATCTCAGAGCCAGGCCAGAAAGCTCTCTCCAAAACGCACACACATAAACAGACATTCCTTCATTGAAATCTGTAACTTGACTAATTCTGAAAAGAATATGATATCTTCCTGCATACCCATGTGTTGTAGTATCATTTGAGTGTAATCATGACTTCTCTAGATGTGTTAGACAAACTCTAATGACCTAATGTTCCAGACTGTGCATACTATGGGTCACCAGAATCAGATGTGTGGCATATTTGGTCTCTATGACCTGGTACTTTGAAGATCGAAATGACTGTGTACATGATAAGTCGATAACAACAAGATATTAGTAGCAAAAGCATCTTTCTCAGTTTCTTCATCGGCTCTCCGGACCGGGCCATCTACAAACCACTGCTCGGACGACACACACGAGATGAGGCCGCTCACCCACGCAGCCGTGTTCAGTCACATAAGAGAACCATATACATATGCAAGTATATTCATTTATCGAGCTTTCAGAGCATTAAGAGTGTGCTTTCTCTTGTTGTCCCTTAAAGATTTAAACTGTCCAGGTGAATTTTGCCATTTTGTGATCCTCACAGATCTCTCTGTCTCTCTCTTTCAATCTGTTTGTAACTGTATATGTAGTCTTCCTTTATTATTTAAATTCATTATATTCATTTATTGATTCTGTCTCTTGCTCATACAGTATACAAGTCCCTTTAATGTACGATCCAAAGCTATGTGCTTTAAAAAGTATAAAATTACTGGCTATCTTTGTAAAACAGGAAGGTTGTGTTCAAGGAAATAGCCTTTCCTGCGAATCTCTGAGATTTCTGTGCGAGAATTGATACAGACCGCATGATCAGCTTGCTGGACAAACCAGTGATCAGATCACAAATCAATTCCACAGGGACTATCCTTAGAGTTGATAGATAGACCTAATTGATATATCAATATTTAATTATAATCCGTTTTGATTAAGTATTGATATACAATTGAGCTAATTTTAACCTGTTTGTAAAATATAGTCTACATAGGCAATTAATTACAATCATTTGTTGTTAATTGTCTGGGTACATATGAATGCAGATGCAGGGAACATGTTATCCCTTTTCGAGAGATTTAATAATGCATCACCAAGACACCCTACGTCAAACGGATTTTGCCAGAATTGGCCTGATATCGTGTAGTGTGAATCCGGCATAAATGTGCGGTTATATTCACAGTTACTAATCCAATAATTTGAATTGGAATCTGCATGAAGGCGAAAAAGTTCCCCACGCATATTTCACTTGTGTTCAATTTGGACAAGCCAATGCGTTGCATTTACCAACAAAAAAGCTGCTTGGTTTGAAAGTAGCTTATGCTTGAGCTGTGCTTCATACATTGCTACACAATTGACAATGGACAAGTTTGCTAATGCAACTACACCTTAAGACTTTGGATTGTAAAAGCGCTTATCTATGAAACTTACAGATGAAGTGACCCGCCAGCATCTCATGCGCGTGACTTTGAAGCTTCCCTCTTTCATCTGTTCGCTGGGCAGTTTGACATGAAAGTTGAGTTCATTGTTGCCGGCACCGACTATAACATGACAGCCCTTCTCTGGAAAATCTGTGACGCAGGGATCAAACTTGATATAGCCGTAGTACTTCAGTGTTTGAGCCAATCTGATGAACTGTGTGAGAAAACATAGTTAGACACACAGATGGTAAACTAACACAAATGATTAGATTAACAAAGCTTCACCATTATACAGTCAGGTCTCAGAATGGACTTCAGCTTATATAGAAGCAGTCCATTTTTTTCCAGCTCATAGACACTAGGGAGATCAAATAACGTGTGTGGTGGAGCTCAGCCGTACCTCCTTCTTTGAGCCTTTTTCCTGTAGGGATTTCAGCTGTCTGTGCTGCTCTTTGTTCACAATGATCCATCCCCGCTCTATGTCAGACACCGTCTGAGAGGAAGAAGGGGAAATAGGTTTCTCACACTTGATTTTTGAATAAATTGTAGGTTGTTAAAGGATATTTGTGTAGTTTAATAAAATAAGTTTCAATCCCAGCACAATCTGCAGTCAGTTTAGTTTTTATTTCTAGTTTAAATTTAGTTTTCATGCAATTATTTTCAATTTTTCAAATTTAGTTTAAGTGATAGCACTTTACAATAGAGTTCAATATGTTCAAACTAGTTTGGTATCATGAACTAACAATAAACAGTATTTTCAGAATTCATTGTTACTAAACCTTACATGTTACATAATCGTACTGTTGTTTATTGTTAATTCATGTTAATTTTTAATACAATCATTTTAAAAATGTGTATATAAAGTCTAACTATTAACTAATTATCTAAAATTAATAAATGTTAGTTGAGCACTATTGTAAAGTTGTACTGTTTCAGTATTTTATGGCTTTGGAAGTTAATACACAATATGCATAGGTAAAACACAACAGTCTAGTGTAACTGCTATTCAGTAAATTATCTTTATGCAAATAGGTTGTCAGTTTTATAATATAACATTACATTTATTTTTTTTTATTTTATTTTAGAAAGTGTTAGTCATAAGAAATAATTTTACATTTTTCTTAGGTTAGTATGTCTTTATTCAAGTTAGTAAAAATGTTTAACTTTTCGATTTTTGATAACAAAAGCAACAACACTGGCAGAGACAACTATAATTAAGCCTTTTTTGGATGAATCCCACAAAGTGTAAACAACTAAAAAGAAATGACCAATTTAGAACATAAGCAACATTATTTGCCAGAACCATTATACACATTGGCAACTTTTTGTGCGATGGACAACACACAAGTACGTTTTAAAATATGAGACTGTTACCTGAACATATAACAAGTTGAGTCCCACACGGTCATCCATGACATCACTGTCGTACGCTGTGTCCCAGTAGCTGAGAATAGGACAGGAAAAAATAATGATTTGAAAATTATTTGAAAAATATACTATAATTTACCTTTTGATCACATCCGTTGTCTGATGCATCATCTAAAACCATTAAGCACTAAAATAATGTGCACTGCATTTTACTGCATAATCACACCCTTTATGAACACATGCCTGAGGATCTGACAAAAACAAAGCTTACCAATTGTCTACAAAACATTCAATTAAATATTTCATTATGTTAAACAGACAAAAGAAGAGTTCTGTCCTGTAGCAAAGCATCTGCTTAAATCTATATGGAAATAGTATCTTATATGCCATTGAAAAAAACGTTGCTGCAGTGTATTTCTCCATTTGCCTAGAAGTAAATGATATTCTGGCAAACAAGCAGTCTTCAGCTCAATGGCCATCCTGAACGTCCATATGTCAAACAACTATTTTCATCACGCTGTGGGTAGAAATACGTTTTTAGCAGAGTTTGTAAGAGCACAGAAATACTCAATCTTGCATAACAATAGATATTGTTCCCATAGCAGCCAAGACTGGATATCCATTAAATCTCATTTGAAAGCTTTTAGCGATTGACTGGGCATTTTTTAACCCTAGAATGCATAAAGGGACATGCTGTGATGTTTTTAATATTTTATCAATGAGAACATACATTACATATACACATATATATATATATATATATATATATATATATGGCACACTGCTACTTCTGCTCCCAACGTTTTGACCTAAATGGTATTCCACAGGCATCGTCAGGCTTTGAATCGAAACTTAGTCTTTTTAATAAATTCTTGGGAGCAGAAGTTGCAGTATGCCGATTTTTGTTTATTTTGAGTTTGATGCTTTATTTGATCGAGCACCTGCCAAAAGTTTCCGGATGTCGTACAGTATTTCTTTATTGAAAACATTTATTTAGGGCTGTGCAAAAGTTAATTGCGATTAATCGCATCCAAAATAAAAGTCTGTGTTTACATAGTATATTTATGTGTGCTGTATATAATTATTTTGTATATATAAATACACACACATGCATGTATATGTTTAAGAAAATGTGTTATTCCTATATAAAATATTTATATTTATATAATATAGATTATGTATTTATATATATATACAGAATTTAAGCGCAAATAATTCTTAAATATATACATGCATGCATAGGTATTTATATATACAAAATAATTATATACAGCACACTCAAATATATTATGTAAAACAGACTTTTATTTTGTATGCGATTAATCGCAATTAACTTTTGCACAGCCCTAATTTATATATATTCCATGAATTCTTAAAGAAAAAGCCCGTTTCTGACATAAAATGTATTTACTCGAAATTTTATGCATTACTTAAAAATCTGTGCAGACTTATTTGCGCCGAGCAAAGATTTTGCCTCAGACAAACACCAATCCCGTGTCTAAATACACATCTTCATACTATATAGTAGGTGAAAAGCAATATGTGAAATAAGCAGTATGTCTGAATTCAGTTTTCTATTTGAAATATATCTGTACTGTTTTATAAGCATTTCCAGTCACTGTTAGCAGCCATCAGATCAGCCAGATCTATATCCCATTCCTGATGTAGTGAACAGGTGGGATCTGGCTGAAGGCTGTCTGTAAGCTCCTGCAAAGTAGGTCAAGAGGCCTGTGCTTCTCTTGAGGGGACTGAAAAGAAATGCACCTTTTTCAACCGTATATGATGAAGAGGTGTGACGTTCAGAGGTAAGGATATATATATAAGAGGTGAAAGTGGAACCGCTTTAGCAAAATAATCCATGGTGAGCTGTGCTAATATGCTAAAATGGGAAATTTATGTCCACATAACACCTTCAACACCTGCTTCCACTACACATGGTGAAACACATGGTGTTTTCTATGCCCATGCTTATGGTTTTACATAAATAATCTCCATTGATTCTCTCGAATTATGGCATTACATAAACCGTACGCTCCAAAGGGCATTTGATGAATGTACTGCTGTTCATAAACCACTAGCAACATCAAAATGTATAAGCTGTGCGCAGGATGGCACTTTCTTGTGAATAAATAATGAAGTTTGAATTGCTAAACTACTTCAGAGATTGTGCCAAGCGCAGTAGTTCAGAGTTATAAAAGACATTTGAGTTACAAAAGAGATGTCTAAATCAAGCTGTCCTCAAATCCAAAAAGTCTAAAGTGGGAAATACAAACCCGACTGCTGCACAGAACCGCACGAGCAGTTGGCTGTAGTAACTATAATACCCACCTCTACAACAGGAAGGAAAAAAGTGCCTCTCTAGGATTTAAAACAGGGTGAAGATGGATCTACCCCTTGTGGGGTACCTCTTCCTAAAGCAAATATCCATGTGCTAAATAGCCTTTTGAGATGACTTGACGTTATACTTCAGGAAGTTCTGACATTATTTACTCAACCTCATGTTACACCAAACCTGTATGACTTTATTTCTGTAAAACATAAAAGGGGATTTGTATACATGTATATATATATTGGACATTATTATTATTATTATTATCCATTTAATAAAACTAAATAAGCACAGTAGCGGTCAAGCGCAAAAATGGCAATAAATGACAATAAATCAGATGTTTCAGTTCATAAAACTGGTCCAAAATGGATGGTTCATGAATCAGAATATTTCGTTCTTGATCTGTTCTTCAAAGCTATCATATGGCTTCTGTAGACTTGAAATTACTTGTTTATGGTGCTTTTGCATCCTTTTTGAAGCGTAAAACTAATATATTCTTCAAAATAACAGTTACAAAGTCATACAGGTTTAGGGTGAGTAAATAATTTTGGGGTGAACTATCCCTTTAAACAGGCTGTTTTTGTTTTAGAAGTATTTTAAGAACATCAAATCACTTCGTCCCTGAGCTACATAAATATACACTCTTGTTATACATACCCTGCTATTGGACATAATGCTCAAAAATCTCTTCCAAAATGAGTTTTGTACCTTTTACGGAGGACAATACGGTAGTCGGGACTATGCAGGCTGGTGATGGACACGTAGGGCAGCTCAAATTCTTGCAGTTTTCTCACGTCTGGGGCACCGTGGGAGGTCGGAGAGGTTTGGATGGAGGGAATGAGAGACCAGATGAAATGTTTGAGTGCCTTCAGACTCAAGGACATTTGGAGAGTAATAACAATGACAACAAACAAACTGAGATGGGGGAGAATCCATCTGGCTAAAGCCGTAGAGGGCACAATAACATGTTTATTACTTTGTGCGAGAGTGGAGGAAAAGAGGGAGGGAAAGAATAAATACTGCAGCTGTTAGAAAAAGACGTTTTCTCTAGAGTTGGGAAAGAGGGAGAAATGGAAGCCAGGGATTGAACTGAAATGGGCACTGAGCTTTTAGAAACATTAAAAAACAGGAGTGTGAAAAGAAGAAGAGACGACAGTTAGATCTATAGCATAGTGCATGCCATCACAACAGCTCATTCTACTCTTTGGCTTACCCTTTCAGTAGTTGACATTAGACAGCATGTTAAGACAAGAACGGCATTATGTGATGGGAATATCTAAACAAATACATATGCACTACATCACCACGTTTCTAATTGCTTTGTACGGTTATTGCATATAGTTGTCACTGTAAAGATCTCAAATCTTGTCAAATAAACATTATTATTGATATAAACTGTCATTATAATATCATTATTACTCCTACTACAACAGTATTTGTTTAGAATTATATCCGGGACTGTTTCCAGTATTTATAATAATAATACTAATAAAGTAGGATTTTTTTTTTCTGTTTTTAGCACAGACATTCTTTGGCACATATTTCTTTTTTCTTGGCTCCACCATCAGTCAACAGAAAATCAAGTTCTGTTTGCAGGCCTTTATTTTTCTCTATGCATGTTACTAGAATGGGCACGATGCCAATATATTTTTGATATGGGGGCTGTTTTCCATCCAATCAGGCAGAATTAAGATCATTTCAGGTGAGGATCTGGCAACCGAGTGGGATGCACATTGCTTGTCATTCCTCAGGGATGCGTGAGGATTCTGTGCTAAAAGTAGTCGAACAATGACAGCTCATATAAAAAAAAGTAGACATGGAAAGTTCCACAAACAAAACGGCGTTACATGCAGACAAGGAGAGCGGCTGCCAGACATCTGCATTAAATCAGAGAAGAGATGCCCTCCAGTTTCAAGAACTGGACCGAGTCTGTGAAGTCTAAAGAAAAATAACAATTCCACTTCCAATAACTGTACTGCCCTCCAAGGGATATATCCTTTGAAAGATTTTCAGTTCTGTAACACGATGACGGCAGAATTGGAAAGAGAACATTCGAGGAAAAAAAAATAGCCTGTTCTTTACAAATTAATTTGCCCTGCTCACTGAACTGATACGTATTGCACAAGAAATGAAAGATTCTGGACTCAGGAAATTCATTTATTTTGTCTCTGGGGGGTGTTCATAGAAAAATGATAGATACACCTATGAAATTCAAAAAGGCGCTTGAAGCCAGAATATTATTAAGTGTGATCTTGAGCAAACACAACTCCTCACGGTGAGTGTATAATCGGTTTAATTTCAGATGGAGGAGGAGCAAGTAATATTTCTCTGCACAGGACATTTCAGGCCATGCACAATTAATCAATACAGTGACAACTAATTTGAATCCTGCTGCGGTTGCATTTACTCCTGCCAATAAAGTCTCTACCAACATTGTGTATAACAGACTAACGAGGAAATTTCTATTGAAGCAATGTTTCGTGTTGGCTTTCAGCCTCTAGGCAACTAAATGCAGTATTCTGGCCCCTCTCAAGAGTATGCAATGTCTTGTTTTACCACAAAGCTGATAAAGGCATCATCTTCGAATTCTTACAAAGAAAATAATGATTACTGGTTAGCAGGTAACATTTCTCAATATATTCATATACATCAGCTTTTCTGTGCAAGACTCCTCATCACAATGCTTGGGTTTTACTATGCAATTTCTAAGTCTTTCGGAGTGATTTCAGTTCGTTGCTATGCAGTTGCTGAGGTGTTCTGGGTAGTCGCTTATTGGCCCCTATGGGATTTTCTTTGTTTGATTGTCGGCAAGGTGAAAATCAACGTCTTAGTACTTAGAACAGGGTTTCTCGTTTGTGTGTACCTATGGGAACTTCGGGATCATTTTATTTTCACCAAGCTCAGATGCTCAAGCTCAAACTTTAGTTTTCACATTTCCAACATTTTTGTGGACATACGTAACAAGAAGCATATATAAACCTGTTGTAAACTAAACCCAGACTTGTGTACATTTGGAGTATGTTGTCAAAACGATCTCCGTTCATACAGATCTGCTAAAACGACTAAAAAGGCTGTATTTATGCATGCCAGCTCAGTCACTTTGTAAAAAAAAAAAACACTACACCTATAGACTAAACACGCAATATGCATGCGCATAACGTCACCGTTTTCAAAAACATTCTCAAAAGTTAGCATTTTCAGGTCCCCAAAATGCAGTTGTTGTGTACATAAATGGTCATATATAGGCTTTCCTTTTAAACTTGCAGTTTTTGTCAAAATAAAAGCTTGAGGTTTTAACATTAAAGAATTTAAGACAAATATTATGATTGTAAGTTGTAGAAAACAAATTAATTTTAATTATCAAATATTTTTTTTATTGTACAGTACAACTGTACCATTACAATAGTATTTTACTTTAAATTAGAGGTGACAACAACAACACTAATAAAAAAAAAATATATATTTTATAGGCCTGGTTTCATAGACATTTTTCTCCATATAATGCACTTTATTGGGCACCAAACGGTTCAAGGTCCAAAAGACAGTTTCAGTGCAAACTGCAAACTGTTCAAATGGCTTTAAACGATTTCAGATGATGAATAAGGGTCTTATCAAGCGAAATGATTGCTCATTTAAAAAATAAATAAAGTTTAGTTTTACAGGCTCAAATGCTTGCCTTGCTCTGTTCTGTGTGACTCTCCTGTACAAACTCGTTTATCAAAATGAACAAATCTTTTTCCAAGTCAATTGGTTCATTTCGTTCGTTGAATGAACCAAATGACTCAAAAAAGGATTAGTTCATTTTGATGAACAAGTTCGAACAGGAGACTCACGAACGTGCATCACAGAACAGAGCAAGGCGAGCATTTGAGCTTATAAAACTAAACTTTGTTATTTGTTTATTAAATGAGCGATCGTTTCGCTTGATAAGACCCTTATTCACCATCTGGAATCGTTTAAAGCCCTTTTGAACAGTTTGCACTGAAACGGTCTTTTGGACCTTGAACCGTTTGGTACTCGGTATAGTGCATTTTATGGAGAAAAATCCTGTAATATCTTGGATGACATGGGGGTGAGTAAAATTAGGAAACGTTTTTTTTTTGTTTTTTTTTAAAGTGAACTACTCCTTTAAGTAGCTTTTAACAACATGCCTTAGATACAAACATTACTGGTGTGCATCTTGAGACACCTTTTAAGATGCGTTAGTGCAAGGTGCATTCATTTAAAATGGCTTAAACGTGCATTTTAGTCTGGGACTATTTTAAGCCTTGATGTGATAACAGAGAGCCGTGAATATGTTGTTACATTATTGGCATATTGATATTTGAAGCTAAAGCAATACAAGACAGGTTACACAAACAAAGTTTAAAACTTAGGGTTTGGGCTTAATTCAATTAATTTAAGTACAAGAAAATAAAAATGACAATGTTTGCCTAACATGCATTACAGGCCTACAGCAGAGCTGCGTGCCGTGTACCATTCCAACAACAGCTTGACCGAAGTTTCATCTACTTGACCTCAGTTTACTTTTGAAAAGTGTGGGCGGCCATCTCAACAGAACACAGACCCTCTTTTGAGCTGCAAGGACTGCATTTAGATCCAGTCCAGAGTAGGGTTGCCGCGGTGAGGAAAATTTCCCACCGGTTAATCGACGTGTGACAACACCGGTAATCCCGGTGTCACCGTGGAGGGCAGGGCGGGGGGGTTAAATAGCTTAAAAATGCGTGCGCGTTATACTTTCACTTTCGAAATAAGCGTCAATTGCTTGAATGGACAAAAAAAAAACAACTCGCTGATAATAAAACTTTTATTTATAGACTTTTATTAGCATAACGAACGAATAAAAATAACCCCATGCATAGGCTGAAAAAAGTGAAAATCGGCAAAATGTGGGCCCAAACAAATAAGAACCATAAAACGTTTATTAACGAATAAGAAAATAAAATAGGCCTAAATAAATTACACAAAGTTTAAATGAGATAAAACCAATTAAAAAGAGACGAATATAAAATAAAAACTTCAAAACGGACCTTAGCCTACATAAATGACATACTTTCACTTTCGAAATAAGCGTCAATTGCAATTCAGCGTCAATTGCTGGAATGGACAAAAAAAAAACAAAAAAAAAAACAACTCGCTGACAATAAACTTTTATTTAGACAGCACTTTTATTAGAATAATAAACGAATAAAATATAGACAGAACTTTTATTAGCATAACGAACGAATAAAAATAACCCCATGCATAGGCTGAAAAAAGTGAAAATCGGCAAACTGTGGGCCCAAAAAAAATAAAACGTTTATTAACGAATAAGAAAACAAAATAGGCCTAAATAAATTAAACAAAGTTTAAATAAGATAAAACCAAATAAAAAGAGACGAATATAAAATAAAAACTTTAAAAAGGACCTTAGCCTACATAAATGACAGCACTCTAAAAAAAAGTAAAACACTATAAATTGGCATTTATTAACATTAATATATATTGGCCAAAATATTGCCAAACAGGCGCTTTTGCATTGCGTTTTGACACCAAATCTTCCGCCATTATCTTGCTTTTCTGTAATTTGACTCGTTCTCGTCTCCACACGTGCTAAATGGAATCCTGATGCTTGCTGATCTGTGACGTGACGGCACGCGTTGCGCAGTTCATTGTTAATTATAATGCTCTCTTCAGAACTAAATAATTGAAAATTATTATTTTTAATTAATTCAAATAAATATTTTAGCAAAAACGAATACTTTAAAAAAAAAAAAGTCAAGACATCGCGGTGTCACGGTGGGAAAGTGATGTCACCGGTGATGGGGCTTAAAACCGGTAACACCGTCAACACCGTCTATCGCGGCAAGCCTAGTCCAGAGGAAGTATGTTGACTTTCAGATACCATTTAATAACAGCCAAGGCACTTTCCAGCTGAAGCCAGCAGGCCAAATCTTGTGATGGCAAATTTCTGTACAAAAAGGTCTGAATTAAATAGGTCAAATGTTATACTCACACGTGCAGCCCCCATCCCCCCGCTCCTGAACCAGGAAAAGGCTGAAATATCCCACCAGCTCATCAGGAAGGTCAAGCTTTGAGGCCACAGCCTGATGAAGACATTAAAGCATCATTAATAAACACAGAATACATCATTAATAAACACAGAAGAGACTAAACCTATTCACAAGACATGACAAATTATGCGTGTATGTGAATTTAGAATAAACGAAAAAAAACACCCTTGCTGTGTTACCATGCTTTTACAGTTTTGTTTTTTTTTATACTACTGTAGGATTCATATTCTATTTTATAATTCCCTATTAAATATGGTACTTTTTAAACATGCAAGATTTTCTCATGTCAAAACTTTCCGAAGTGCTTTTTTTTTTTTTTTTTTTTTTTACAGGAGTGTTGTGCGATCAAGTGTTAAACATTACACCCAAGGAGGTCCCATGATCAAGTTACTCTTCACTACATTTATGCCATGTTTTATGCACAACACTTGACTTTTTCACTTCCATCAGGTGCTAAAGGGCATTTTGGGCCATCACTCTGGTTGAATAGCACAGCGGAGTGCAGAGCATTCTGCATATGGGTGCAAAGGGCATTTTAATGAGAGCTTGGATCTGCTATGGCTCTGTGCAGTGCACGTAGGAAAGCTATGATACACAAAAAACTTCTTAAAGCCCTTAAGACTTAAGCTGTAATATGTGTTGCATTGATTGGAGAGCTAAGTGAAGAATCAGTGAAAAAACACAAAATGGTCTTTATTGGACAGACTAAGACTTGGCAGCACAATATTATTTATATTAAATTGCATTAAAAAGGAACAACAAATACTTTATAAGAACTGTCAATTAATTTAAATAGTGATTAATTGCATAATTTTATTTGCCTTCTAGTTAATGCATTTCAAAGAAATAATAACCATAATTACTGAGTTTAGTCTGTGTTACACTTACAGTGGACTATATTGTGTAGGTATGCTACCAAAAGAGTAGGTTCAGTGTTTTGAAAGAAACATTCTGTAGCTTAACCGGTACAGTATGGTGCTAGCAACTCCAAGGTCATGGCTACAATTCCCAGGGAATGCTGAACTGACCAAACAAATGTGTACCTTGAATGAAATGTACAGTAAGTCGCTTTGGATGTGTTTGTCAAATGTATCAAAATAAAAGTCTCTTATGCTCACCAAGGTTGCATTTATTTGATCAAAATTACAGTAAACATAGTAATATTGTGAAATATTATTACAATTTAAAATGATGATTTAGTGCTCAAACATTTCTTCTTGAAAGTATCTGAAAAAGAGACCTTCTGTAACAATTAGGGATGGGGCCGATCCGATCCAGTATCGGTATCGGGACCGATACCAGCGTAATTCACGTATCGGATTTTTCCGATCCAACCTGCGAAGAAATCCGATATTTATGATCCATATCTGCGCTTTAACGTTGGCTGCTGAAATGACTCCAAAAGGGATTCCCCGGGGCTGCTAGTCTGCTAGCTGGCTGCAAACTGTGGAATGGATATCCTGAACGGAGGTGCAGCTCAATCATAGACTGTAAAAAATAGGGATCAATGAGACACACAGACGCCCGCTCAAGAAATCCATTCCGCAGTTTGCAGCCAGCTAGCAGGATAGCATTGAGCTACCAATATGTTCGCTGTGTGGAAATCCTATGGTGGAAATACTTCACACTGGAAACACCGCAGCAGAGCAAGACAGCAAAATGCAATGTTTGCAAAGCCGTATAAATTAAACTAACGTTATTTGTCTGTGATGCATGTTTGCAATTCGCAGTCCAGAAGAGAAAGAGAGAGATCTCTCACGCGGTGCCACAGCAAGCACAACACAACAGCCCTGCTTAACCAGAGTCGCTTGAGTGACGACAGAGAAAACAGCCTGGTTACACTTTAGATCTGTGATATTAGTCTGATTTCCAAAGATTAAAGAATATATTGAGGTAAAAAAAAACATTAAACAATAGCCGCATTCTGTGTTGCCAACTTCCTTCCCATCGCGGCGGTGCACTGTCATTTCTCCGTAAAACTCAAACTTTAAGACAGAATCAGCACGATCGGTAATTGTTGTAAAATGCCGTCTCTGCTGTTGCTAAATTGCGGGACGCTTTTAATAATAAAAAGAGCTATTAAACGCACAAAATTTGCGCAAGAGGGCGGCGCGCGCTCCGAAACAGACAAGCAAATTATACTTTGGGCTTCATATGCGCGTCTAAACGATCAAATGTAGCCTGCACAAAAATGTCAAAACGACCGGCTTGGAGAATATCACTTAACTACGTTCATTTTAGACATAAACGGTTTATGGAAATAGTTGGGAGAAAATATGGTGCATCAGTAGACTATGAAATCCGCACTAGTTCTTAAAGGGGCAGCAGTATAAATGTGACGATTGCGACATTACTGAGAATAAAACGACCAAAGGCAAAGAGAAAATCACTCACAGCTCTTGAATGAATAACTTCAGCTTTAATAAGCATAAATCTATCTATGATAAACTTTGCAGTGCTATTTTACTTTTGATTACTTTATTATAATTCTTTTTAGACAATATACCTGAATAATGTTAGTAGACCTTCCTGAAATTAAAGCACTGTGTAGGCCTGTATAATGCGTATATCTTTGTTCAATTGTCTATCTATTGTTTAATATATCTATTATATATATATATATATATATATATATATATATATATATATATATATATAGGCTACATACGTACGTATCATCCTTGCTTGTAGAGAGGTGTTTATTTCAGCATCATATAAAATCAACAATAATGATAAATAATGTTAAAGCAAACACAGGTCTGGTATCGGAAAAGTATCGGTATCGGCCGATATCCAAAGTCAGGTATCGGGATCGGATCGGAAGTGAAAAAATGTGGATCGGTGCATCCCTAGTAACAATACATACATGTATTTACTGTCAATTTTGATTAATTTAATGCATCCTTACTGAAAAGTATTAATTTCTTACCAACCCCATTTTTTTTTAACAGAGGTGTGTATAAAGACAATGGACAGACAGATTGTGGTGCTCTTTTCTGACTTCATTTGCAGAAAAGCAATTCTGCAATAAGTGAATAATAAAACAACTTTTGCGCCCCTTTGAATTTTAACATGTATTTATATTTAAAATTGAAACATTTATTTTTTAAATGTATCATTTAGGCATTATTTTAAATAATTATGTATTTTGAAATTATTTAACATATTTTATCATACATTTTTCAAACAAAAATATTATTTTTTGTCAATAAAATGTTATTTTCTTTACAAAGAAATCCACAATACCATCTGGAAAAATACAAACTGAACATTATTGGTTTATATCATGAGACCAGGGCTTGACTTTTTTGCTCACCAGCCACTCAGCATTTTCACTGGCCAAAATTTGGACACGATTACCATAGGGGAATAACTACCATATAGATATATTTAATAGCATCTCATAATTTGGCAGCCGGTATATTAGGCTGCTGTTGCATTAAGACCTGACGCACAGACCCATTATACGGTTTAACTGTTAAATTGTGCTCAATACGCACAATCCCTCACCCGAAATCAAGCGCTGTACCACCAACAATATTCATCCAGAGCAAATAAAATGAGTGAGTAAAGGGTTGGTGAGTCAACTCACTGTCAGAGAAATTAGAGAACGAGAAAACGCATCTGGTATCATTTGTATCTATGCTTTGGAAGATTTTCAGATTTCAGTATCAATATGTATCGAAAAATAAATATTACTGCCAATACTAGATTACACTTAGTTTATTATTTCAGATGCCTTTTTAAAAGACTACAATTGAAAAATATATTACATACAATTCAACCCGCCAAAGTGGCTAGCAGGAGTGACTGCGTTACAGGCCAACACTGAAATCCACCCGCGTTTGGCGAGTGTTAATGTCAAGCCCTGCATGAGACTATACCTATTGTTAAGCAATAAACAAATTGAATTGTGTTCACTTTGAAAGTGCTAACATATATAAATTCTTTACTTGTTAAATCAGAAGTGTTTGTGTCCTTTTTTATGTATGTGAGTTTATTTTTGTAACAAGATTTGAAGTGTACAAGATGTTCATGTTAAGCCACATTTCCACCGCAAGAACTTTCCACAGGAACTAGGGACATTGGGGTGGCATTAAGTGTGTTTTGACCGCAGGGACCCGGGTCTAAATGAAGGTCTGGGTAAAATGCTCCCCCTTAGAAAGTCCCTGCTCACGAGGTAGTAGTTTTTTACTTTCAGAGGTAGGACTTTGGCGCTGAACATGCTGATTGGCTGGGGGGGGGGGGGGGGGGGGGCAAGTTCCTGGGACAAATTATTCCGGGTAGTTTCGGTGGAAACGTGGCTTTTGCTCACTATTACAATGAAAGTGTCAATAACTAAATTACTATTCAAAACTAAAGGCAATAAAGGCATAAACCTGGCAGTGAGAATGTGAATCAGATCTGTGCTTTGGAAATAGTTACAAGACAACATTCTCACCTCCAGAACATCTTCGGTCTGGTCAGATGTGAGGATGTTGACTTTGACCTTCTGGCCATTGGACAGGTAGATTTCTAGCTGCACCTCCTCAGTGGGGATCTGCTGGGTCTCCTGTGGCAGAGGGAAACAGTGATAAAAAGTCTTTATACTTTTTCTAAATTTACAACTTTTATTATTGTGTAATGTTGCTGTTTGAGCATTAAAACGGTCTGCAAAGTTAAAAAGCACAAAGTCCATTCCAAAGGTATTTATTCTCTATAGTAGCAAGAACTGAAGTCCCTGAGACACCTCGATTGCAGTCTTGTAGTTTTCTTCAGTGAATGTGCGTCACAATATTCCCACCCAAGGAATGCACACAATATCGAGGACAAGGCCTGGTTGAGTTGCAATAGTAGTGTGTTGTCAACTATGTCCAAGAGACACTGTTTTTACCCCAGATTCAACCACAGTTATGGTTAGGGGCACAACATTTCCAGAACATGCTCGAAGAGGTTGACCACTGATCCAGTCGACCAATCAGAGCACATTCCGCTTTTCGAGACAGGAACTGAAAGATTGGGAAGAGAGGTGCTGCAACTATGTAAAATATGTGAAAAATAAGGTGGTTTTTGAACATTCTAGAAGCACCCAAAACAAAATCAAGACTTTATAAAAGGACATGACAGGTGCTCCTTAAAGTGTAACTCGTCAATTTTCAAACCGCTTTGTTTTGTATCATTAGTATCCGTAAATGTTTACTCATCCTTCATTTTACCTGGGTAGGGTAGGTTTATAACTGAAAATTGTACTGAACCATGTCTACTCTTTAAACACACACACCATTATGGTAAAAACTGTACTCTATGGCAACAGCTTTCTTACCTCTTACCTGTATCTGACCGTTTGCACTGTATGAAGCCTACTAGGGTCACAGAATTCAATTGTTTACAGAATGGCAGTTATTTCAGTTTTTCCCCTCCGTTTGGCCTAAAACATTTGTTCATGTTCATCCAGATTGAAATGTTGACTACAAACATTTTTCAAAGGTTTTTTCAGATTATCCATGGCAGTGTTCTATCCATATTTATTATTTTTTGCAGCCTTTAACCTACAATGTGCTGGATTCCTTCACTGGAAACCTAAAGCAATCCATTTCTGCTAAATGTTTACTCTTTAAATTCTTGCACCCGGGAAAAATACAAGTCGACACCATTATGACTAAAAGTTTACCAAGTAGTATTTCCAACTAAAGCAAGGCAATATTTGACTCTGGTAAGTATATACATAGCAGACTGGTGGGAGTGGCCTTGGACAGCAACATGCCCAGTGCATTATGGGTGTTGAAGTTTCCTATCTATTTTACTCGTTTTCTTTAGCCGAGTATCAACGATTAAAAAAAAAGCTTTGCCTTTTTTTTTTCTTTCTATTGCTTAGGCAGCCAACTTTTATTGAAAAGATGTAAAGTCCCGTGTTAAAGAACCCCTTTAAAGGTTTTGGGGAAATACCTTGTGCTGAACTCTAATTCAACTTCTGATGCTTCCTGTTCAGTTGATCCCAGAGTATTTTGATGAACATGCAGTACTGGTAATATAAAATCACACCCTTTCACAGGGCAGTTTCATTTCCTATGTATTCCAGCTTAAATGTCATGAGGGCATTTTTCATTTTAGATTAAATGTAATGTTTTGATTTCAGAGTGGTTTACTGTATAGATTCAGGCTGATATAGGTGCTTATAGATAGGACTGGTGATTTGATAATTAGATATTGGAATTAAACACAAAGCCCAAAAAAACAAAAGGTCAAAACACCACAGTGCTGACTACACTTTACTATTCTCTTTCACTTCTTGCAAATTCATCTTTTTTTTTTTTTTACCCTTCTTCCTGCATGTTTCATCTCCCACTGAGGCAGAGGGTCTCAGCGCAGCAGCTGATCTTAACAGAGATTTGAAGAAATGAAACCGCAAGGCCAATTCTAATCTCTTATTCTGTTTCTGCAGACTGCTCTCTTTTGTTCATGTTCACATGTAAATAATAGACTCATTTTCATCTATTGATCATTTAAAGCAATCCAGTCTCTACAGGAATTTTGAACTAAATTCATAAGGATTCATTTTTGGGTTTTGGGTGAGCTAACCCTTTAAGTTTTATGACAGGCAACTATGTCACTTCTGTATTTAGACACCATCAAATTTGAAAGATATCTTAGAAACTATTCAAATAGAGAAGCTAATTGCAAAACGCCAAAACATTATTGACCATGGAAAGGGAAACCAAATTCAGTTATATTTTGAAGGAACCCCTCTGAAATGCTTAAGTGGAGAATCATGCGACAATTACCAATAATCATACAATCTTACAATACGTTTTCATATGTAGCCTATGTTTACAATATTTCAAATAGCAGAATTGAAACTACTATATTTACAATGATCATAATTTATTTTCAAATTATAATAAACACTTTCAATAAACAAAAATAATGTAGAAATTCTACCTGTTGAGCTTTTCTCAAAAAGCTGTTGAACACCTCGCTCGATCCCAGAATGGGGTCCTGACGCACTGCAGAGAGAAAAGCTCATCATTAAAGGTTTAAAGCTAATATAAAAATGTAGTTAAACAAACTGAATCTACTTTTGGGGTAATTGTTTTCTCAGAATCAGAATACCACGCTATGGAAACACATACATGTATACATTACATAATAAACAAACTAAACATTTATCCTACCATTGGTGTCAGTAAGATTTTTTTTTTTAAGAAATTACTCCTTTAATTCAGAACAGGGATGAATAAAATAGCTCAAAAATGACAGAAGACTTTTACATTATTAATTTAGATATCTATTATAGATATCTATTTCAATTTGTTTATAATGGCAATTCTATTCATCAAAAAATCATGAAAAAGTATCATAGTTTCCACAAACTTATTAGGCAGCAATTGTTTTCAACATTAATAATAATAATAATAATAATAATAAATGTTTCTTGAGCACCAGTTCAGCATAATACTGATATCTGGAGTACTGATGCTGAAAATTCAGCCTCAGTGAGCATAAGAAAAAAAATACCTATAAAAGCAGTGCAAGGGCTTCAACAATGATTCAAAACATCAGTTTGTTTTAACAAGTTCATCGAAACAAACCTCCCAACCAATTCACTTAAACAAACTGAACACACCATTTCCACTTCAGCACAAGGCCAGTGTTTTAATCAAAGTATTAGATAAGTGGTTGGTCTGTCCTTTAAAAAGTTCAAGGTACAAATTTTGTATGGAAATATTTATAGATTGATTGTCAGAGAACAGTATTTGCGTGTACCTCCTTGAGGTAATATTTTAAACCAACTTTCTTAATCTTGTGTTTCGTTTCAATTGAACTATAACGTAAAACTCAATGTTTCAAAATTCATTTGTCATGTTAAATCAAACTAATCTGAAAATACAACACATACCTTTACTTTGAAAATACCACTATGGCTCCCTGACTAATAATAACCTGAGTTTTGTGGGGGAAAATAAATATGCAGGAGGCAAACTGACCAACATAAACTATACTGTTTACTTTTACTTCCAATATAGCACACGAGCAAACAACCGCAAAACATTTGCACAAACTAACAAAATATTCGCTCTTGAACAGCTTGTGTGTTTGTGTCGGTTAATTTTCCATAATCATGTTTCTCAGTGATGTAACTGCGGGAGGCCAAGCCAAGAGCAGCTCCAGACTATGAGCAAATAAGCTCAACAAGGCTTAGCTTGTTCGATGGATAGTGCCAGTGCTGGAATGGATTAGAGCAAACGGCTCTTGGTGCTGCCAGCACTGCTGATTTCCTTTTGTGCTCAGAAAAACTCACCTATAACCTGTTAAATGACATGCATGGCAAAATTCTTAACATGTAGTTTAATTATTTCATGTAGTTTGCCTGATGTTTTCAGGAATGACAATGTGGAACATTAACAAGCTCCATCCTCTTCGGGAAGAGCAGACATAAAGACATAAAACCTCATACGAAGGATTAAGGCTGACATATAAGTTTTCTATACTCTTGATGCATTTCCAGTTGAAACAGGTTTTTTTTGTAATAGCCAACAGAATTAAATCACAGCCGTGAGTTATGGCTTGCAACTTGCAGTCACATTCTATCTAGCATTTTATTGGACAAAAATCTGCAGAGCAGGATGAATCATCAAATTTAAATGCCAACAATTGCCATCAAAGATATTTGAAGATATTTTCACATTATTACAGTTTTAACTTTATTTTTGATCAAATAAACACAACTTTGGTGAGCAGAAGATTAAAAAAAAATCTCACCAACCCTAAACTAGTGAACGGTGGTGTATAATCTGTTAAGTGAATTTGGTAAATTTTAAGGTGTACAGAAGCAAATAGATGAGCTCAAAGATAAAACAAATGGACCACAAGTCACAAAGATCATTTTGAATGTGAACTTTTCAGGTAAAAGAATGTTTTTCTTACCAGCTTGCATGTACTTCTCCAGCTGTTCTCTCCGCTGATCGACTTCAGCCGGCGTGAGAGTGAAGATCTTCTTTGGTGGAAAAGCCGGCACCACATTATTTCCATATTCTTTTTTGATCTGAAAGAACAGAAAGGGAGAACTTCATTTTAAATATGAAAATAGAACATTTGGTTATATTATAATAAATATGTATACACTTCACAACATCTAAAATGATGCCTGCTGTTGTTCCATCTGTGTCATTGGCATTTTATTGAATGGCACAGGCAGAAAAAATAAATCTATCAATCAATGTTGCTATCGTTAACTGAAACAAACACAAAAACCATGTTTAATACTTGAAATATAGCTGAAACTAAATAAAAATGTACTTTTAGATTAGATAATATTTAAGGGCCATTTTAAGGGTTAACTTCAAGCCTCACACCATGACAGCTTCTACAGATTGCATCATATGACCATGTATGATCTGACTTGGCCCTCAACGCCCTGTTACCTAGCAACAGCGGCTTTGAAACAACACAACATGCTCTTAATGCTGAGATCACCGAAGTTCTCTTTCATTCATAAGGAAACACAAAATTCGTGAAATTGGTAGGTGTAAGAAAGATAATATTCCGAGAATGAGGCCTCGCTTCCAAATATTTGAATAATATATGACCTATTCAATACGCTCATAGCTTTACCACTTCAAAATTTGGATGAGTTTGTGTTTCACAAGGGTACATTGTGATTTTAATCCAGTCCAAAACAAAGATGCCTGTGATTTTCCTCACACAACCTCAGTAAATATTATGAAGCAAATTACTGCCGCTTTTGGCTAAAACAGAGGACACGATCACGTCCAAATCAGTAAAAAAAAAATGAACAGACATCCTATATTAATAACTAAATTCATTAAAATATATTTTCTGAGTAGTGCTGACATAGATTTACCCTGCCTCACATCAGAAAACTATCCATTTAACATCACAACAATTCAATTTCAGACATATATATATATATATATATATATATATACTAAAAATGATCCTCTTCAATCAAGCTCAATATTATGCAATAGTTTCAATTTCACTTAGTTACTTACTTTAAATCACGCTTAATACAACAATGAGAAGTTTAATGAAATATGAGTGGTTCTCTGCCTTTGAAGTTTAGATTTAAATATCCACAAATCATTTCACTGGCTCTCCATCCAGGCACCAAGGTGACTAATCACATTAAATCCCAATGAACAAGAATATATTTGAATTAAATCAATGTACTATAATACTGCCCTACAAAGGCAAAAGGCAGTAACTGACCAGAGTGTCAAACTGAGAAAAATGACTTTAAAGTTTTTTGTTTTGTCCACACAAATGTATTATAGGTAGAGCAATGAAAATCTGGTGACTTGTTGCCCAGATCAAGAAATGTGTGTATATAAAAAATCTTGTGCTCAAAGTTGACTTTTGACCCTTATTTGTCAGATACTGTACTCTGCCTTTGTATTATTTACTAAAAAATAAGGAGTCGTGCAAAGGCAAAAGGCAGTAACTGACATATAATCAATTTGCTTAACACCATTTAGAAGATAATTAACTGATCACCTTCATTAAAGTCTAATGGGAAGGGAATCGACCAAACAAAAAGTTGTATGTGTACGTGGATAATATTTTGCAACAAATACACTTTATGCTGTTTCACTAACGCTAAATGACGCTTAGTTACAGAAGACGCTTTGAAACTAGCCTAGATAACTTGTGGATAGCTTGGTCTGAATACCAGCAAGGGACACGGACTATATGTTCAAAACCTTTGAGGATTGTGGAAACATCGTAGATGACGTGTATTGCAATGGATTTTATGGAGTTACAAGAAAAGGTAGGAAATGATTGTTTACTGCCGCTGTGCAGTAAAGTGTAGCATGATAGCTAGGCTGGGGCTAACATGTCAACATTGAATAGGCTACATTCCTGCAATGTCTGCATCTCTGGATTGTCGGCACAGAATGGATTGCTGAGTGATTTTTAATTATTTAAGAATTAGATGTCATGCTGTCAAGGTATCTATTGATGTTTTGGTTGGTGTTGGTGTGCTGGCTAATAAGTAGACTAGTTAGCTTCTTCGTCAGTTGCTTGTCCTAGCAATTCAAAATTAACGTTAAGTATGGCACTTTCATACTTCATCTAATGCATTATTTTATAAGATAATTTATTACCTTGGTCTTCATGTCTTCTTTTCAACGCCAACTCCACCATCATTCTCCCTCGAGAGCAATTTGCCATTCTTACAGTAGTTCAACACTTGATAAAACGACCACTTAACACATTTGACAGCTCGTTTTTTATTTGGATATTTGTGTGTTATAGAAGTAAGTGATTTAGTGACAATACATGGACAGTAACTGAAGCGCGGCAAATTTTTATGGACAGTAAAACAAAGGCAGATCATCGTAACTGCAAGGTGGCACCGTAACATCTCTTTTATGAATGGCTTAACAAAGGCAGAGTACGTAACTGGACTTTTGCGTCGAAGATCAAAGCCAAAGAAGGGTAACTGCAGTTACTGCTTTCTGCCATGGTTGCTTGTATGGTTTTGGGAGTTACTGTGAACACAACCCTCTATTTTTTCGAAAAAACAGTCAAATTGAGTATAGATATTTATCCACATGATAAAGGAGGTCTTTAATATCCCAAAAATGACATTAACTCATTTTTGACCAAAAATGCAGTTACTGCCTTTTGGCTTTGTAGGGCAGAATAGCTACTGTCTACTGTAATTTCTCATGTTTCATTTCCTCAATTTCACTAAAGCGGTACATTTTCAGAATACATTTCCCAATCTCAGACAGAACTGACTTATTAATTGTATGATTTTACGGCCAGTGATTCGAAACTAATTGTTTAAGTATTGTGTTTTCTTGATATGCGTGTTCACCTGTTCATGGAGGCCCAGGAGTTGACTGTAACGTACTCGACAATGCAAGACTCCATTCACATGGATATTGTAAGCCTGAAGAAGGAAAACAGTTAGTTAGTCTTCATATACACAATAAAAATAAACACTCAATACATATTCATGAGTAAAATCTTTAAGGCCCATCAATAACTACAAAAAGGTTTTCACTTATAGATGCTACAAACAAATGTTTGGAGTCAGAAGATCATTTTTTTGTATGTTTTTGAAAGAAATCTCTTCTGCTCACCAAAGCTGCATTTCTTTGATTAAAATCATGCAATATTATTACAATTTACAATAACAGTTTTCTATTTTAAAATTTAATCACAAGATTAAATTTAATTTAATTTAATCCTGTGATGGCGAGGCTGAATTTCATCATCATTACTCTTCATTACCTATTCATGAGTAATTTGAAAGGCCCATCAATAACCACAAGCTGATTTAACTATGTGCATTAATTTAAAAAAAAAAAATCAAAATTCTAAATCTACATTCATTATTTTATATCACCCTGAAACATCAAATTATTAAATAAATTCTAAAGTGAAATATTTTGACGCTTAACAAAAAAAAAAAAAAAAAAAAACGATGCGTCAATAATTTACAGTCGCTTAGTAAATGAGAAGATTTTATATCAAAACAACTTGTTTAATGGTGGTGCCTTGGTATTATTTGCGCCTTTCTTTAAACCCCCTACAAATATGCATGGACTTAACACCATTTATTGTTAAAGGAATGTAAGCTCGCTGTTTTTTTTTTTTCCGTAACTAAAAAAGCTTATGTTTATAAAATTAAGGGACTTTTGCTCTATTGTCAAACATCCTGATTTGTTGTTGTTTTGACTATTCATCATGTTGCACATCGTTTGGTGTTGAGATAATGGTCCATTGTTCTTTATGGAGTAAAAAAGACTGAGCTATTACTTAAATTACAGAAAACATGCAATGTATCAACTAGACACAAACCAAAATGTGTGGTACGGGTACATTCAAAAGAAAGACTTTGACTTCAGAATGGGAAAACAATAAGAAGATTGTTGTTTCAAAAAGTTTTAGGTAGAGTGAATACAGCAAAAACAATTCGTGTGGATTGTGTGGCCTTTATAATCTGCAATCAAACCAAGTAAGTTGCATACAATACTGAGCGGTTGTGATCCAAAAACAAGTTATTTTGTTTTGTTTCAGGACAGGATACTGCTGTGTAATGTTCTCCATCTTATTGCGGCAAACTATAAGAATGGTCTCAACTGACCTCACATATTGAACATGGATTCAGTGCCATCAAAAGGACCCTGACAAATGCGTACGAGACGGTATGATCCAATTAGTGAAAGCAAAGCTCTGCTACACAACACAAACATGCAAGTCACCAAAGATATCAAAGTTGGAACAAGTTTGAAAGAGATAGGATGAAACTGCCATGTCCTTCCATGTCTCCAGTCCAAATCAAAATAAGGAAGATTGAGTATGCAAGTCTTCAGGAAGTAAAAAACATCAAACTTTTTTTACCCTTTTGTTTGAACAGGAAGCGTGCCATTTAAAACGCAGCCCACTCATTTTTGTGGCTCTTCTACAAAGTATGCATATTCTGTGACATATACAGCTCCATACAACTTCCTGCCTAATACAGATCAAGACAACATCACGCTTTAGATGTCTGAAGAAAACCTCCTCCATTCGTGAAAGCACTCGTTCTCAAGTTTTAAATCAGTTTGAAAATTTGAGCAGGGTCGGTGTTGTTATCGTTTAATAAAATGAAAACTATTAAAACATTTGTTCAATAAAATAAAATACAAATATTTTAAAAGAAAACTTTGAAATGTTGCCCTGAAATAAGGTTAAGTACTAAAATCATTAACTGAGAAAAAAATAACACCATTTAGAAACCAAGGCAAACCTACATAACAACAAGAGTAACATTTTGACTAAAATTAAAATGAAAATATAAAAATGAAAGCTAATTTAAAATATTTATAAAACTATGATAGTTTATAAATATAGAATATCACTATGGTGAACCAGTCTAAATCTATAAAACGCTTAAGATGTGCAAAACAACAAGGCTAATATCTTCAGCATTAAAAGGTGAGTGTGAGTCATTTAGCTAGCCAATTTAACTCACAGTGGCCTTGAAAGACTCATCTGTTGAGAGCATTACTGACCGTCTGTGTCTCTATGATGGAGAAACTCTCTGAATTCACTGTCACAGAAGGACACAAACAACTTGTGCAATCAATCTGTTAGGAATGATTCATTCATCTTCACGTCAGTGCATTAAACCATTGTGGATCTACGGAGGTGTTTTAGGTGTACTGAGAGCATCCATGTGTACAGAAGAGCTTATCTCAGCCTTTATTCAAATAATTTGGTGGCTAAAGAGAGTCAACACCACAGTTTGTACATCTGCAGAGATCTACGAGAAGATTGGACTGCAGTGCATGTCCTCGAATAGATTACGCTTTGTAATCAATCCACAGTTCAGTACAATACAGATGTAACCTCAGGAGCCGAAACTGTCTGTTATGGATAGGCTATAGCATAGATAAATTAAGTGTCATGTATTCAGAGCAGTCAGCCAGCTATTCCACTAACTGAATAACCTATGCTGAAATAAATGTCAATCTTGCAAAGCATATGGCTTAGGGAGATATTAAGCCAGAAGAACTGAGGCATTGTGAAATTCAATTCACGCAACAACTTTGAGTGACCATTCAAATAGAAATACAGAAAGGGACAAAGCTTCCCAAACGTTATTATTCAATGTAATAATTGAAAAAAAAAGAAAAAAAAAAGAAAGTAATTCTTCAATAATAATTACTGGTCTTTGTGCCCTTTTAGTTATTCATTAATTTTCACTACACGTTTTTTTTAAATCGCATACAACAGATATGAATATTCATATCTAATACGTTTTGTGACATGTAGATTTTGAAGAGTTTTATTAATCCGTCTGTTCACTACAAAGACTCATTTTTTTTGCAGGTTATCATTATAATGCAAGTATGTGGTGGCAAATGTTTTTAGTCGTTGAATCGCTCACTAAACCGATTCGTTTATAAACACCGAGTCTTTTACAACTAATAGAGGTCATCTTTTATTTAAAAAGTTGCGTTAACAAATCTAACGTTACTAAGAGACCCAGAAAGAGTGTTAATTAATTAAGCATGATATACATTTCCCCTTCCAATGCAAACAAAGCAAAAATATAATTTCCTCCGTATTTTGTCAAATAGAAAAATAATAACAATAACCTAAACGAACACATTTTACTTCAATAGCCTGTTAAACTATCACAATTTGTGTTGTTAACACGACAATGACTCATATGAAATCTGAATGAACGTTCAAGTCAGTCAGCAGAAGATTCGTTCGCTTAAAAGATTTGTTCAAAACACAGATTCAAAGCAACACTATTCGTCGGTGTCTCCAAACGTAAATACTTGGCGCATCGCTTATATGACCTCCAGTTACACTTACCACATATGTAGATCCGTTTTCATCAGATCGGACCTCCGTCTCGGGGATGGAGAAATGCATTTTCTACCGTTAGATTACACGTCCCTGACGAAGCTGAATGCTGTTAAGAGCGAGAAGGTTCACGGAAGGCTCTCGGTGTTGGTTTGCTGTCATGTAGGGACCAAACTGAATGAAGGCGAGCTAACGTTAGACTCGCTCTGATCAGTCCAGTCCAGTCCAATCCTGGGACGAATTATGCCAGAAAAGTTATTTTTCGCGAAGTGGATTATTTAAAAAAAAAACTTTCTTAATGTTCAGGGCTGAACTTTTTCAATAAACATCTAAGCAGCAGCCATGTTGCAACTGGAGGTAATTCCACGTTCATTGTCGGCAATTTCTCGCCAAGTCAGTCCTCTCACTTCCTCGCGCACTGTAAAAGAATGTGGGAAGCGAGTCTGCAAAACACCGAAGTGTCGTCGCGAGGCCCACGATCCAATTAACTTTCCAGATTACTCCACGTAAAGGTGCTCCGCGGTTGTCTACAGCCTACATTGGTAGGCTACATACGAACGAGTATGGAGAGGGAAACAAATGAAGAATTGTTTGTCGCAGGATGCATTTCGAGATGCCGACACAGTGCTCGTACTTGTTAGGGCGTTAGGAAGAACACACATAAATCTACATTGTAGCGAAACGTTCTTCCAGCCAGCACTGTGTCTGTCTGTCTGCTATAATGTATTCAATATGTATCTGCGCGCTCCCGAAGCATTGCAACAGTCTGGATCAAACCATTCTGCTTTAGCCGGGGGTGTTATTGCGTAAAAACGTTCATTAGGTCCTTTGGCGTTTATATGTTGCAAACATTTGTTGTTGAAAACAATTTCTCCATGACGATGCAAACTTACATTCAATTCTGGTTGAAATTGTTTACTCTCAATTTAAGTTTATCATTTAACTCCACAGGACAGCATAGTAGTTTAGAACCATATTGTTTTGTAATTAATAGTGTAGCCTATATTTCCCATAGCTTAAATGAAAGAAAAAAATATCTTTTTTTTTCTAACAGTAACTTTGATAACAGTGTTGAACAGTTAAGCTTGACCAAGGCACTCAACACAATACCATTTTGTATAAAATTGAGACAAGTGAATGAGATTATTTATCTTCCTGCCATACTAAAATCTATTTCCGGTCCATGCTATTTTATAAAATCTTACCTCTGAGTTGGGACAGTCCAAAATCTCAATTTAAAGGCGACACAGACATGTTTATAGTCTAAAAACACTTACATTTTATACTAGGTTATTTATATGTTCATTTAAAAAAAAAAAATGTGTGCCTGTAGCCTACTGTTTATAAAGTCATCCGTATTCGTGGGGTGTGCCTATCCAGACTAAATAAATGTAGATTGGCTAAACTAATATTGGAGGTATGGCGAAGATCTACATCAGTCCAACAAAGTGAATTATGTAAATACTCCAGTGTTTTGTAAGCATTTCGTCTCTATCAAAATTTTACAATAAGAAATGCAAAATACTTGCGCCGCCTTATTGTCACGAACAGGGTCGCGGCCCTTGAACGTCACATGATCATGGTGTCACATGACTTTGTTTTTGGCGAAAATGACAGCTAGCATTACAACACATGCGGTATCTACTGTGTATTTATGTACAGTTTTATTTGTTTTATTCAATGCATATGTAGACAGTCAGGATATTGATGTACAGGTGAGACGATCGACTAATGATTGCAACACAGTTGTACAGCGATTATAATAAAACATGCTATGCTACATTGTTGTTACCATGTTGTAAACTAAAACTTATTGTAAACACATTTTATGCACGCATGTGGTTCTATAATATTTTGAAAGCTTTCACTTTTATTTTCGATAGTTATGTCAAATGTGCGAAGGGACTGTACGACAAGGCAGTCCTGTCTGGGATTTCTGCCTTAAAAAAGGCCAGATCAAAGGACGCTGCTGTTTTGAGAACAATACCAGCAATATAGACACCATTATAGGGTAGGACAACTTTCTAGTATTCCCCTTTTTTGAATATATATATATGTGTGTGTGTGTGTGTGTGTGTGTCCTATTTGTAAATCTAACTGTATATGATTATCTTTATCCTGTTTTAGGTTGGACCTGTCAAACTGCTCTATCAGTCATGTAGAGCACCTGTATAATTCATTCACAGCAGTCATAATGTACGTACCAGATCAGGTTTTATTAATAATCTGTGCATGTGCCTTGTTCAGCATTGAATGCAATATCTAAATGATACTGAACTGTATTTACACAGAGATCTCTCCAACAACCCAATCACCAATCTGAGCGATTTCGTATTTCAGGGTTTCAGCCATCTTACCCAATTGTAAGTGATGTATGAGCACAGTACATCAAGTTCATAACATTAAATCCATGGGTTTTCAACTTGAGGTCTGGGGACCCCCAGGGGGCCAAAATTGCTTCGGGTCAGTAGACAAATCTGTTTAAAAAAAAAGTGTAACAAATATATAATAATAATAAAAAAAAAAAGATTTAAATTTAAAGTGGAAAATAATTATTGGAAGTAATAAAATCGAAATATTTCCAAATAATATTGTTATAAAACATGTACATTTTAGGATGGGGGTCCCTCATTCAAGGACAATGATATTTGGGGGTCCATGGCATCTACAAGATTAAAAATCCCATATTTAACCCATCAAGGTGACTTGACAAATCTTTACTTAGATTACTACCCTCAAAACTGGAGTGTCCAGGGGGCAATGCATCATGGGAGACGGTTGAAGTAAAAAACAATGCCAGAATCTGTGAAGGACAGAAAAATGTTTGCAATCAGATGGCACTGATGCGTAAGTGATCAGTTAACTGGGATCTCAAAATCTTTAAAATATCTTTAAATACATTTATTGAATGTTGTCTGTCTCTTCAGCCTGGAATTGCCCTGAAAACTCATTCTGCAGCCCATATGGTCCAGGGTTCTTTGAGTGTGATTGTCTCCATAATTTCCACGGATACAAGTGCATGAGACAAGTGAGACCCCTGACAAATCATCCTTAACATGTTGGTTATCACTTCTTTATTGCACATGTTCATTGTTTGTTCTCAATTGCAGGGAGAGTTTCCCATAGGTAAGGTGCTTGGGATAATCACCGGCTCAACAGTTGTTGTTTCATCGTTACTCTGGTTTACACAAAGACGAAAGGTCGAGACCACTTGAATTTTAGAGAAGTGACAAAGGTGCACACGCCACAAAATGCATCAAGCTTATTAAAAATGATGCAGGAGAAGTTTCATACTCTGGAAGCTTAACCATCGGATGAACATTTTACTTTCTTGTTTTTTAAACTTGCCAAAAGCAGGTTTGCATGACATTTTTTTTAAATAACTTAATGCACAATTTTGGTTTTAAACTTTCACTTTCTTTTGACCCTCAAGGTCCTGAAACCTTTTTATTTGTACAAATCCTTCAGTGAATACTGACATTTTCACAGCCTTGAAGAGACTGGTCTGTAAAGGGAAAACTGACCATAGACTGACCTTGCGGATTGTCTTTGGAGGGCAGCCACATTTCTGACAGAAATGAATCACTGACATATTTTATGGACAAATATTTTGAGTTGCTTTAAAACAAAATTATCTTGATTTCAAAGATATTTAAAGTGCTTTCATTTTACAATGGAGGGGGGAAATGAATGTCATTGGACTGTTATAATTTGTGAAATAATTGTATATTGTTACTGCCACATACTGCTTTTTACAGATGTTAGATACTAACCGATGACCATTTAACCGTTGAAACTGTATGCTTTTCCTTTTCGGCAGAGTAAAGGGAATCGGTTTCATCTGCTAAAATGAGATTTATATAGGGACACACTATTAGTATAATACTGACAGTACATGTTACATTATGCAAATTTCATTTCTTTCAATGTAGTATTTTGTTGAGGAATTCAGCATGTACCTCAGTAAACCAGAACCAAAAATTAAAGACTTGTCTCAAAAGAATTGGCAAACAACAGTTTATCTAAATTATTTATTTTTCAGTAGCCTTTTCAAGGTTTTGGAAATACAAACAAAACCCCTTATCTTCGGCTTTTGCATGGTCACATTTGCACCATGTTCCTTTTCCCTTATTCACATCTATGAAAGGAATTCAGCGACAGCAACTATCCAAAAAGTATGATATATTTCTTTTAATGTTTATGTCTATGCACGGACCTTCATGAAAAGCCAAAACTTAAAAGCAAACATGCTTTACCGGCACTTTCTTTAAATTTTGTGGTTTTAACAAGAACAAGCGAATCTGATATTCTCGATCTTGTGTACAACTAGAAGTGATTTGAGAATTTTTCTTGAGGTGGATTGAAATGGACTGCGTCATTTTGGACCAGTAATACAATTCAAAATGAAATATTTGAAAGGATCCCGACAGTGAGAACATAAACAAAAGCTTTATTTGAAAAGCCTGTTCCATTTCATAGATATGTTTACTTCATGCTAGAAGCCCTGTGTGCACACACTCTTTTATGTGCAAATGTAAGAGGGAAGCCAAACCCTGTTCATCTGCTCTTCACTGATCCACGTTCTTGACTCGCAGTACCACAGGCACGGAGGTGCAGGGGATCATGCCCAAGTCAGTAATCACAAGGTCCACAAAATCTGGTGGCGTCACGTCATACACCAAGTTCAGAAGCCCCAGTGATTTAACAGTCTGCCAATTCTCAAGATGGGTCTTCCCATTTCTGGTCACAATCAGGTCGTCAGGGTCATCTGTAACAAAAACCATTAGGTTGAACTTTTTTTGCGTGTGTAAATGTTAATAACAAAAATGATTATAGTAAATTGAACAATCGTGCTACACATGCTAGTGTTACCTAATTCATTGGATACAAAAGAGTCCGTCTGCACTCGTTCACAGAACTTGTAGGTCTCACAGCAGACCAGCACTGGCACGTTGTAGGCCTTTGCTACCAGAGCAATCTGGGAAGTTCCCACGCGTGACATCACATATCCATTGGCAAGAAGTGCATGGGCACCAAGAAATACCTTGGATACCTGGAAATAAGAGAATGCAGTGTCCAAGAACTGATTCAGCATTCATGGAAACAATGTTTATAATGACAACAAAGGCCAGTTAACTGTAGTTCAAGTACACAATTCAAAAGATTGCGGTCTTAAGACAATAAGATTTCTTGTGAACTTTCTATCGATCAATATATTAAGAAGAAAAGTATCACAGTTTCCACAAAAATATTTCAACCATTTCCATATTAGCTATGTTTCCACTCAAAGTTAAAATTGGAATATAGCGTGAAGCATTTGCGAATTAAACACCATTTCCCATCTAGTGATCAAGAGAACAAAATAGTCACTTCCTGGAAAATATCTGTAATAGAAATTGAAGTTGCTGAAAGCGGAGGATCCACCTTTGCTCTTTTTTCCTACATCATAGATGACTTGCGTCCCTGAGTGCACAGACAGTGGTCCTGCTGGTTAGTTCAGTTACCCAATCATGTGCATGTTTGGTTATCAGATTAAAAAAAAAAATCCACTTCTAGAGTGTGTGAGAGCACACGTTTTTATGTATATTTTAAAAATTGATGCGCATCTTGGCGCATCATCAACGACGATAATTAACAAGACGGGCAATTAGACATAATTTAGAGTGAATGTGTCAAGCTCAGGAACGAGTATTCACGCGCCGTGTGACGCGGCTTTCCGGTACGTGCTTTGAATGTGTGTTGCTGGGCACATAAAAATTATCACAGTGCACAAATACCAAACCGAGAGACACAGGTAATTTAGCATCTACATGCGCTTGAATATTTAAATTGACAAGGCTTAAAAATGCACAAATTATCAACTTCTGTGAAGATGAAGCACAGGCAAGTGAAAGTTTCCTCAAATGACCTTCCAAGTGCCTTCCTCAAATATTTAGTTTAATGCAATATATAATGTAACAATCTAAACATTCAGAACCTCACAGTGCCATTTAATTATTTAAAAAATAAAACCATAACAGCAATCTAATAGTGTTTAATGTAAATAAAGTCCATATGCTATTCTAAACTCTATAAAACTGAGTAGTTATCTTTGTCAACCCTTTGCTCTACTAGCACCACTGCAGTTGATCCTGTGTCTTTAAGAACTAAAGTATCAATCCATAATTAAGTTATATTTTTAGCTACTGCTGATGTCAAACACATAATGAATCCTTTGAAGGTACAAGCACTTTGGAAAGAAAGCACATTACCTCACAATGAGCTAAAAATAAAATGTGCTTGCAAAAATCCCAGCAAGTAACAAGCTTTACTGAAAAGAATGACTCACTTCAGGCAGAATGTAGGACAAGGCAGATATGAGCACATAAGTACATCGGATGCCTTTCTTCACCAGACGCCTCAGCGCCTCTCGGCCCTCCAGCCTGGGCCGGCTATCAACGACAATGACTCTGAACTTCCTCTGCTTTTCAAAAGCATCGCACAGAATGTGATTGACAAGAGAAGAGCTGTAAAAATACACAAAAAGGCATTAAATGCATTAATCCAGACTATTAAATGATTATAGCAATTCAGGAAAAATCTTACCAGCCATAAACAAGAATGACGTCTCCATTACTTATCTTCTCAATAGCGTACTTAGAAATGGCTTCAGAAGCCAAAATGATCTTCTCATTTACGTAACTATCAATACATTCCTGGAGTTTCCCTTTCGCCTGTTGAGAAAACGTTGCTTTTAGACACTCACAGGAACAGGAAGAAGACTGCATATTAGGGGTGACCCCAAATAGTCGAAGATTCGATGCTTCGAAAGGTGGAGCCTGCTTCGACTACCGATCTCACGGTCAAATCTAAGCAGAGGTGTTATTAAACGAGGATCACGTCATTTTGGCTATAAGAGGGTGCTCAATGTAAGATTTCACATAGAACTACCGGTTTTCTGTCAATATACAGCCTATTATGATAATGTTGTCAATAAAAATGTGCCAAGAAATAAGCTTTTAATAAATATTTTCAACATGCGTGCAGTGTGAATAAATTCTATCCTAGGGTAAGAAAATCTAAAGATTCACACCATCGGAAAGGATATACTCCAAGGCTGGATTAGCATCAGGAAAACAACCATCTCACTTTTTCCAGCCGACGTAAACAAGTTTGTTTTCCTCGTTTAGACATTGTAAAACTCTTTTAAAAAGCTTTAATGGCACTTTTACGTGCTTAATGTATGTACACATTAGGCTACACACCTTATTAAGAAACCATACTATGTGCAGATGAACCCAGAACATGAACGCAACACGTTTTCTTTAACAGTTTACTATGGGAGGAAAATGCTTAACGTATAATAAAAAGCGTTGCGTTCATATTCGGGCTCATCTGTTTGTCTTTAGGCTATATGGTATGCTTTATTAATAAGGTGTGTACAGAATGTTATCTTTTCATATCGTTTTAGGACATTGAGCCGTTAAACGCTTTTCACGTTAAGCGTTTTAGAATGTATTTTATCCGTGCATACAATTTGAAACGGCTCAAATGGACACAGACAGAGTGAAAAGCAGGATTTTTTTCCTCGATCAGGTATGGGTACAAGTGATTTCAAAACATTTCAGCCAGCTCTAATTGGATTTTTTGGATGCTGTGAACATGTTTAGCTAAAAAGACTGCCACTCCAGTTTAGCGTTTATTGTATTCTGCCGTTAAAAAGACAAAAGTTGACAATTCTGGGCATACTTTCGTTATTTTAATAATTTCGTTTTTTATTTTATTAATTGATCACTCAGGGTGATCTAATTTATCTAATTGTGTTTTGAATGTATGTTTCCCTGCACTTTACACACACATTTGTTCTGCATCTTGTGACTTGATTCTGACTTGATACTAGAAATGTATATTGTGTTCTTAATTGTTGATTATGTTGATCGATGCTGCGCTGTAGGCCAACTTAAAACATGCTCGCACAGGCAATTTAATTAGATTTGCATGTGATCTGCAGTGTGGCCTTTCTGCAGTTATTTATGTTATTTCTTAGTTTTATTGATCCAAAATGTTTTAATACATTTTTTGTTGTGTTGTGTATATCACGCCTTTAAAGTGTTAAAGACCCGCTACCTCCCCAACCCCACACACGATTCAACAATAGGCAAGATTTGTCAACTCGACTATGAAATTCCTTAGTCGGGGACACATATACTGCATATAAATGTCTCTAACTAGTGATTCTGAATACTCTTACCTCCTCTTCTTTGCATTGACTGGGTATATTTGAAATTTCCTTCTTGATGTACTTAATGGCATTGCCCATACTGGCTGAAAGGGGCCGACACTGGCTGAGAAAACTGTGGGGGGGAAGAAGGATTGGCAGTGTCTGTCAAATAACCATTTCCATGTAAGATGAGAGTTCAAATTAAATAATATACATCTGAGCATGTGCTATATAAATTTTCACAAGGAAGAAAGAAACCTGATATAGGGCGAAAGCTTGTTCACAAGGTCCCTTGACAACTCCTCATTTGGAGGTGTGCTATAATCCTGAATAACCTATAAAATGATTTCTGGTTAATTAAATCCAAAAATTATTAATAATTAATTTTATAGGTATGATTATGAATTACCTGTTTGAAGGCATGTAGTAGGGCCACAGATCGAGCATTGGATCCTGCTATAATGCCCTGAGAGTACTGGAGACCCAACCGAACAATGGATGGGTGAATAACTGTGGCAGGGATGCTACAAAAATAAACCATATCAAACAATACAAGTCAACCAACTAATGCATTTAGGTTATACATACTTTAATTCTAATATGTCTAAGTTTTTATGCCTTATTTAAATTTTTCATGACTATTTTCAACCTAACCATGAGACCTACAATTTAACGCCTAAAGTTGTTTTTAAAGCTTAGATTTTATCAACTTTTTAATAATAATAATAATACATACATACATACATACATACAATAAAAAAGTTACAGTACTGTGCAAAACTAAAAGAAAATTAAAAAGAAAT